TCAGTTTGACTTCTCCTGGACTGTAAGCTCCTTAAAGACAGTTTATCTGTCACATGCATACTTATACCTGTGTCCAGCTCATTAATAGAAAAATATCTAGTGAATGAAGAATGGACCAACCAATTAAAAATGAAGGCCAAGCTGGGAGCAAAGGCTAAGTGAATAAGACAGCAGAACAAATGCTGATCACATCGAAGACGGAATCATCACAAGGGCTAGTCTGCCTGTAGTGCTGCTGTTTGTAAACCCATTAAGCCTCAATGTGCATTGTAAACAAGTCAGGCAGGTATTCCTGAGAATGTAAGCTGACTTTCAGGGACAGACGATGGGGGTGGTGGCTTATACTGGCTCGCTTCCTTAGCAATTTGTGAAAACAAAACCCAGCAAAACAATTCCCCCTCTCCCAAAAGTTGGCACTGTCTCAAGTGTTTCTTTTCCAAAATACTTTCTTTGGCCAGGCAGCACTCCCTGTGCAATAGCTGTTGGGCATTAGTGTGCTCTGCATCCTTTAGAGGTCAGTCCTGAATACCAAACAGATGCAGAGCCCAAGTCCCCAGAACTGGAGTCTAACAATTGAAATGCATAACAATATTCATCTTCTCTGTTCATGCTGTCCTACGTTTCACCAAAATAAGCAGGCACATTTTAGAGACTGGCCTTGAGTTATTCTAATTTCCGCACTTGAAGAGAGGAACAAATGATTTGAGGCAGAAAAGTAATGCAGGAGAAGGTTTTAGCTTTCCATGCTCACTCACGCTCTTTGTTTCCTGATTAAAAACAGCACTTCAAATCAAGTCAACATTACAGAGACTACAGGGGTACACAAGAGTGAGGATTTTTTTTAATAGAAAAATTTTGTATCAATTAATTAAGTAGAGCAAAACCAAACCAAAACAACAAAAGAACCCCCTCTTGTTCTAGATTACCTATTAATTTCAGATGGAAAAGCCCTAGGCAGTAAGAGAAAATAAAATTGACCTACGCATTAAGTAGATTGGCTAGTTAATTTAGGGTGAGTGGAAACAGCTAAATAATATTAAGTTGTCATGGCAGAAAGTAGTGCTTTCGCATTACTACCCAAACTTGTAAAAATACTCAGAGAAGCAGAAAGAAGGACTAAATTTAGAGCCTGATTTATAATGCATTCAAGAATATGACTCATTTTCCCCCTGTCCTGGTATGGCCTAGAAATCTGTGTGTACTACAGGCAACACAAGGATACCCTGTAAATAAAAGAGTCATTTCATTCATTCAGAGGCGGGAGGAATCTGCCAACAAAGGTGAACTTCCAGGTACCTCACACACCAAAACAGAACCAGATTTTTCAGCTGGCGAGAGGCCCACTAGCTTTGCTCTGGCCTTGGCATGAATATACTGGAAATTTATTTTGCTGCATCTCTTCTCTAAGTGGCTTTTATCCCACTTAGGCTCCAGTGGGATCCTGACTAGCTCACAGAAGCCATGCAACATGGGTCACCTTAATGAGATGCCCAAAGGATGGCATCATTTGGTAGCAAAGCGTTTAGCAACCTGCAGCCTAAGTCACTTCATGGTGGCTCCCAGGTTGGGTTTTAGGGAGTTAGTATTTATTTAAAAAAAAAATATATATATATATAAAATTGATTTTTTTTACAGAGAGGGAAAGGAGAGGGACAGAGAGTCAGAAACATCGATGAGAGAGAAACATCAGCTGTCTCCTGCACACCCCTTATTGGGGATGTGCTCGCAATCAAGGTACATGTCCTTGACCAGAATCAAACCTGGGACCTTTCAGTCCACAGTCCAACGCTCTATCCACTGAGCCAAACCGGTTTTGGCAAGGGTGTTAGCATTTTATATAACAAACACCTGAGATGATTTTGAGCTATATGGAAAAAAAACAAAGTAAAAACAAACCAATGGTAATAGCAAGTCCTATTCCCATCAATTAGTCAAGGTGTTGGTCAAAGTATCTAGACACAGCTGTCCACTGCTGTCCCTTCCCCAGTTTCACCATCTACTGCTTCCAATCATGTATTTGCACTCACTTCTGCTCCCACCAAAGCAAATATTTTAGCCTCACAGATTATTGAGATTAAAGCCAGACTATCATTTGTGTTACCTCAACCTGGTTTAGCGGTAAAAGCACCTATGTTACTTTGTGAGTTTACAGTGACTCCATTCTTTATTATTTTTCTTTTAGTCTGTAAATACATTTGGAAAGTAACCTTATAAGTCTTATTCTAGCCTTTTTGGCATTACTAGATAGTCTCTGGGTTTAGGGCAAACTATAAAAAGGAAAGGCACATAGAAAATCTGTTGCTCAGTATCATTGCTCCCAGAAGTGAGGGCATTAAAGCTGCTCTCCCTTCTGAGGTGTAAGACGAAGGTTAGTAACCCAGTCCCAGGGCCCCATTATATATCCATATATATTCACCCTAATTAAGAAAGGTTATTTCCCCAAACAAGAAATGGGTTCAGCAATTTTGCAGTTAAAAGCAAAAAGTTAGATACAGAGCACGTGCATTGCGTCAGAAATGAGTCGCTCTGAGGTGTGTGTCAATGAGAAGCACTTGGAGAGGCCCACACGGGGGAACAAGGCAGCATGGAATTGGTAGACCCTGTGCAGGGCTGTGGGTCCAGGTGGATATGAGATCCGATCAGCCTGAACACATGCTTCACAAACCAACCTAGACACGGCACAGAAAAGAGGCAAGACACTACAGGGCAGCATAAATGATGTGTACCTTTCTCAAATAGCTTGGTACTTGGGTCTCCCAGGCAGTTCTGCATGACCAGATGGGGCAGTCACTAACCCCCCTTGTGGACCCACCCCTGAAAATAAAATAATTTAGAGGACAGGGATATTCAATGACCTTGGCCAAATGTGATGACGGATTTGGTGGAATCTCTTTCTATACCCATTTGAGAAAGGACAATTTCTCTTTAGCACTCTAGATAGAAAACTGGCTGATTTAGCTTAGAACAGTTCTTTCAGAACATCAAGAAGGAAGTGGTTAGGGGAAGTGTCATGAAGGTTGCATCCAAGGCTAGGTCAGTTACACATTGGGATTTGGGGTAGAAATTTATTCTCACACACATAGAGCACTACAGATCTAATTAACAACATGGGAAATCTATTTTCATACTTCACTCACATGAAATACCTCACTTCTGTATCCAGGGTGGTTTTCAAGTTCTAAACTACAATCAGCCCTTCTTTTAAAATAACAATAATAAATCTTCTGATTCAGCCAGATGGTGGTATTTGTTGCACTAGGCTGGGCTCATAGTACAACATCAATAAATGGCCACTTGTAGAGGGACAGACAGAATCCCATTCATAAAACACACCTGTACCTCCCTTTTGCTCCCATCCCCAAATGTTACATCGTCAAAATACCCAGGGGGCTTAGTCTCATTATGGGGAACAAAGGAAAATGATAAAGGCAAAATAATGTAAGTGGAACAGCAATTTCTTGGGGGGGGGGGAAACAGTACATTTGGTCTCTGAGGAGAATGATTATTGGTGGGCTTTAGAAGTATTGTTTTGCCTCAAGGGGCCATTTGAAAGGAAGATTCCAAAAGAGTTTTCTCTGGAAAGCTTGTCTTGGTGAAGGCTGCATTGTCAACCAAAGATATTTCAACTAGGAGATGGAGTCAAAATTCTACCTCAGTGAGTTGGCTGAGTCTTATGAAATGAGTATTGTCCCAATTAGCCTTCTTGCCTCAGAAAACTCATTCTGTGAGGGAAAGGGTATTCATTCAAAATCCACCAAAGAGGGACAATGATGTAGAGATATGTTCTGTCTCCTGTGGACATATGCTCTTCCCGGGCCTGCAGGATTCACACTCTTTAGTGCTTTGTCCTTTTTTTCCTGGTCTCAGTCCTACCTGGGACTGGCGGGGGCGGGAAGAGGGATGCTGACTAGAATCTGCTCTTGCTCTTAATAAGCTTTACTACCTGGTTATGTAACCCTAATCCATGTCCACAGTACAGGGCTCGGATGGCTGTCCTGTCAGCAAAAAATGACTGAAAAGTTGTTAATTCAACAATGTTGGAGGGATGTTATTTCTAGAGCTAAAGTCCTCAGGGAAAATAAGAAATAGTTGCTCCGGGATTCAACTCCCCCACACTGAAAGATTTTTTTTCTTTCTTTATGTTTTCCTCTCACACAGCTTCCCAATGCCTGGTGTGCCCTGACATTTGGTCCAAATAAAATTCTGGAACAGACTCCTAGGATACAACTATCTTCACACTCTATACAAGTAGAGTGTTTGTTATTGAGAATCAGCATCTATTAGGGCTTGAAACATCAGGGGCCTGGCTGCTGCTGCTGCTCACTCCCCACACTAAGTCACTTCATGATATAGATACTGTTTTATGTTTAGCCTTTAGAGCAAGCAATTCTGTTTACAACCAAAGGCATTTTCCATACTTCCAGGGAATGAATACTAGCTTCTGTTGAGTCTCAAAAGTACATAATTTAAGACAGTGGGGAAAGGAGCTGGAGAATAGTTTCCAGTGCAAGGAAAACACCATGCAGATGTTGGCCTTCACTCTCGAATTCTAATGGTGAAATTGAGAATTGTTTATTTGTTCTTAAGTCAAACCCAAGGAATTTATTTTTTACAGGCTGGGGTTGGGGTGGGGACTAGTGATGTAATATATTACTAATACTGAAATAGTCAACACATGACCTTAGGATTTTAAGTTCCCAAAGAATTTCAATCTTGTTAAATGGTTTATTTCTTGGTCAAATTTGGCATACCACATGTTGATTCATGTCACAGAAAGGACATACCTGAAGAAACACCTGAGGATTACTTTGCTAAAATTGTATATTCACTTTCTGTAATTGTGTTGTTGTTGTTTCCCCCCCACTCCAAGATAACAAGCTAGGAATTGGTCCTCTATCTTGAGCCATTTATTGAGAACAAACAAATGAACTTGGAAAAGACATGACCCGATTGAAGTTAAATACCTGACTTTGGTGTATGAGAATCATAAACTTGCTTACGGTCTATCTGGTCCGCAAACACTTCCCCATAAATCATCCAATAGGGCATGTAGAAGATGTTCTTGGCCAACTTCCATGATGGCTCCTCATTGGGAAAGAGAATGGCTTGCCTGGCAACCCCAAAACTCATCAGCACCACCAGCATAATGATGACAAAGTACATCATGTCTATCATCTGGAAGAGTGGAGAAGCAGAGGCAGAAACAAAAGAAAACTCATATGATTGAGAGTTCAACGATACTGACATTGATGGGAACCTCTGAAGGAGGTTCACTTTCAATAACACTGATAAGGAATGTTTGGATAGGGAGCTGTGCCCAGATAAAAGGACATTTGGCTTATTGAAACCAATGTCCATGGAATGTTATAAATAACTAAAAAAAAAAAAATCATTACAAACAAACAAATCCCACTGAAACCGGTTTGGCTCAGTGGTAGAGCGTCGGCCTGTGGACTGAAAGGTCCCAGGGTCGATTCTGGTCAGGGGCATGTACATTGGTTGCGGGTACATCCCCGGTAGGGGGTGTGCAAGAGGCAGCTGGTCGATGTTTCTCTCTCGACGTTTCTAGCTCTCTATCTCTCTCCATTCCTCCTCTCTGTAAAATATCAATAAAATATATTTAAAAAAACAACAAACAAACAAAAACAAACAAATCCTGAAATACATGCCCAATGGAACCCCTTCATTTTCCATTGTTGTCTGTGGAACCTAGTCAAAACCAGATGTAGGAGTCAAGTAGCATAGAAGCTTGGGTATCTATATGAATTTAGTACTAACTTTTTCTCTGCTCTCATGGGAGGCAATCTCCTTCTTGGTTTCTTCCTTATTAGCAAAATTGGAAATGGGATAGTGGAACTATTTGAAGAATTACTGCAATGTTGTAAATTCTCTAAGTTCTGAAAAGCTAATGAAGAGGTGGAAGCTCATGAAAATAACCATTTGTAAACAAAGTGAGGCCCACAGATATCCATCATATTCCATCTTCTCCTTGTGGCTTCACCTCAATGCATGGTATTCTACCATAAAACTGTCTTACAGAGAACCACTCCCCCTGTACTTCTCCTGCAGCATATGCTATCAGTTAGAAAGCGTGTTTTTATAGGCATTAGAATCAGGTAGCCCATTCCTGTGCCTGCTGTTGAAAGGTTGGATTTTCATCTTGACATGTTTATAAAATTCTCTTTTGACTGCATTCAAGTACAATGTTATCGCTAGTTCCTCTTTCTTTTTTTGTTTGTTTTCATGACACATGCAATTTGGGATCTGTTTCTTATATGCCAAGTTACTTTCCTATTATCACCAAAAATAGATGAGAATGCAATAACTATTATTTTACCTGGTCAGAACCCATTGCCTTCTTCTCTTAGAAACAGTCCACACCCACTTTGGCCAGGCTGGGTTACACATGGTACCACACCCTCTGGCAGCAGCAGTCACAGGAGGAAGGCATGTGACAAGAATCCAACCAGAACCCTCTCTTTGGATATTTTTCAGCTAAAGCTGGGAAAGAGGTACTGCCTTTATCTCTCTGTAATGATGTTAACCCAGAGTGTCTGAGGCTACGTACCCCACTACTGATCAAAGTGAATGAAGCAGATATTTGAGATAGAGAGAGAGAGAGAGAGAGAGAGAGAGAGAGAGAGAGAGAGAGACTCTGACTGCAGTAGCCCCTAAGGCCAATTCCATCACATTTGTGCCAGGCTAAAATCTATCTGTCCCTCCAGTTGGAGATAAGTTTTTATCCTTGCATCAAACCTTTTAATACAAAAGACTATCTTTTCTAGGATATCAAACTTCCTCAAAGGATGCCCACCCATGAAGATAACTGATGATAATCTTATCAAGGATAATAAAGGCTTTAAGTTAGTTTTAAAATTCTATTTTAAAAAGTGCATTCCATGGTGCCTGTTATTGGAATCACAACATTACAGCCTTCCTGTTTGCATTAGGACACTGGGGGCTCAATATATTTTGTGTCCATTTATCAACTTTCAAGGCAACTTCAAAATCCATTTCTCAAGTATTATGTGACTTTGAAACTAAATAAGTGTCTCTCAAAAGGTGACACTAATTCTTATTTATTCACTGTCCTTAAAATATATATTCCACTCAATTAGTTATTCCTTTCACAACTTAGAGGCCTCAGAACTCTCTTAAGATGAGCAAGTCAGCTATGTTAAAACAATTTTATAGGAAACAAGGGTCTGCTTCTCATCCTTGCTCTTTTTTATTTTGTAAAATTCTCTCATCATTTATTTACAAGAAGTTCTACCAATGAAGAAACACTAATGGGTTTTTCATGTTATATTTATTTAGATTGACTAAAAGGGGTGGGAAGAGGAAGGTGTGTACTCTTGAGATTTAGGAGCTAGTATGATTCAAGAAAACTCAGCCAGTAATATAGCATCTGTTCTAACTTCTCAGGACTGTTTTCATTCAGATTGATTGTGATATTTAACCAAAGTATCAAAACAATCAGAGAGCAGAGACATTCTTCCCAAACACTCAATTTCATATATTTCAAAGAAGTCTTAGCTTCCATTCAAATACCAACATCTAATAGAGTGGAGTGCAGAAATAGAACATTATGATTGAGAACTGAGGCTGGTTACTTGTTTTTAAAGCTAATTTGTCCAGTTAGTTCAGTGTTAAGAGACCTAATTCTTATAAATATTCTTTGATTTTGTTTTATAGAGAAGAGTATATACTCTAGTGGCTAAGCATGGGTTCTCAGGTGTCAGACTACCTGAGTTTGTTTCATCTTGGCTTTGCTAGTAAAAACAGCGAGGTGGTCTTACTTAATCTTGTGGGGGTTTTTTTCTTCATTTTCAAGATGGTGATAATAATAACATTAATAATGCATATTGTTTTTGTAAGGAATACATGAGATAATTTGTGAAATGCTTCATGTGGGTAATTTTTCATACATGGTAATGAATTATTATTATTAGAATTGGAAGAAGGTCAGTCCATGAAATCAGATAGACAGGAATTGAAATCCTGTTTTTGTCCCTTGCCCAATTTCAATTTATTCCACTATTTAATGAAGATATTAAAACAGGTTATAATGACGATCTGTCTGACATGAAGTTTGGCACACAGTAAATGAAAGCTATTATTACTGTTGTTTTTATTCTGCATTATATAAGTAAGCTAAGCACTAGGCTTGGAGAATTCCACTGAGAAGTAGGATCCTGGATCTAGAGATCAGTTGGAATCATACTTGATCAGTATTGTTTTCAGGTTTCTTAACAGCTGTGTCTCTCCGTAGACTACAGGGCACAGATACTTGGTAGTTTAGCACTGAATAGAAACTCTCTAATGTTGAAGGACTTTCAGTATAATCGCATCTGGGCATATTTTGTTAACCTTCCAGCCTGGCAGTCCATCTGGCTCCCTGATAAATGCTATAGGCACATTTTACCTACCTTCTGGAACAGTGACTCAATTATTGAACTAATTATCCTAAAAACCCATGGAGAACAAAGCCCCCAAATATACTCATTTTCTACTTATTCTTGACTGATAAATGAAATCATTCATAAGTTAGTAGGTGGAGGAAATGCAGTATGTCTCTCTTACTTATTCCATAGTAAGATTTAATTCTAATAAAAAAGGATAATTATGCCATTATTAAAATGATAGACATGGATTTTAAAATAATATTGCCGCTTTAGTTTGACTTTAGTTATTTCAAATGTTTAAATGCCACTCAACCTTTTTAAAGTACTATATTTGGCTTGTTTGGGTCTTTTCAGATTTTATTTATTGAAATAAAATAAGGTAACAATTAATTAGAATAAAACAATCAGATTATGTAATCACCCAATGTAGTGGTTCTCAACAGAGGGTATTTTGCCTTCCCATCTTCTGACCCCCAGAACATATGGCAATATCTATCTACATTTTAAGTGTGTGTGTGTGTGTGTATACTACTGGCATCAAGAATGTAGAAGATGCTGCTAAACATCTTATAATGCATAGGACAGCACCGCCCCCCAGAACAATGAATATTTGAGTTTCAATATATCAATAGTGTCAAGATTGAAAAAATTTGGCCTAATTTCATAGCTGTTATAGTCCTTCACTTTCATTGGGCCCATTTAAGAATCCATTTGATAATCTCATGGAAGCTTCTCCTCTCTGCCCAGAAAATTCTTACACTCACACATTTTTATATATAACTTGGGTCGAGGGACTACTGATCATCTCTTCTAAATGTCTCCTGTAGACTCTAAGTTGAGACTCTGCTTTTAGACATAGGAATTTTCACCACTATCTCAAATTCATTACTGAAGTAGAAATATGATTATATAACAGGCAGTGTAATAGAGTAAGATGCTTTTCTTTTCTTCTAATCTAAAATACCTAAATGAACTGGGATACAGTTTTGGGACTAGTCTTAAATTCAAGCTTGTTCAATTTAAGTTTTTCCTCTCTAGAATGGGTTTGGAATATTTTCCCTAAACAATGCTGTTGTTATACACACCAAGCTTTTGTACAAAAGTGTTAGGAATAGAGCAGAATAACTATATCACCAATTTTTCTCCATTTCATTGTATTTTAACAGATATAATATGAACATAATAACAGACAATTTAACAACTACCTACAATGAGCCACATACTGTGTAATTAATATGTATACTTTCTAATAATCACAACAACCTTACAAGCTCTGCCTTTATTATAACTACTTAAGAAACAATTAGACAGAGTTTCAAAGAGGTTAAATGAGTTGTTCAAGGTCTCCTCTTGGATTAAAGTTTTACCTCTCTTTGCATGACTTTGAAGGAAGAGTTGGCTACTTAGGATTCCTAAGTTTCACACACATACACATAATAAATATTGATTTGTTGACTGAAATGTATATTATTTTAAAACTTGAGTAAGAATGATAAAAAAAAAACAACCTAATTGACCAATTGTTGGTTCCAATAGCTCATAAATGGAAGTGGAGTGGAGGTTATTAATGAGGAGGTTTTTCAATAAGAGGTGTTTGGCATTATAGAATGGATGGCTTGGCTTTTCCTCATATGTGCTGTAAAGGTGAAGTAGAGGATACACTGAGAAAAATGGAAAAACTGACTTAAAAAACAAAACAAAACAAAACAACTCAGGCTCTGATTCTTCCTCTGATAAGTTTGGAGAGGGAGCTGGTTTACTTGGGCTCTCCCAGGTTCACACTAAGGCTGTTCCCCTAGGGCGTGGTCTTTATGGAGGCCTGGCAACTGATGTGGCCAAGAAGTTGGACCAAGTCCACAGCCATTGCGGGGAAGCATGTTAGTTTGCCACTTGGGATTCATTAAAAAAAAAAAAAAAAAAAAAAAAAGATAAGTAGGACATCTTGCTGGAACCTATTTTTTAACAGACATCACTTTCCAATAGTGTAATAAGGTACATAATATAGTAATAGAACTTAATGGTCAATTCAAGTACAACCTATCAACTGAATTCAAATAAACGATGTTTTTTTTTTCTCTTTGCATAGGGAAAGGCATTTTCTTAGCACTTCATTAAAAAAAAAAAAAAAAGCAATGTTAAAAATCTTAAAAATCTGTTAAATATTTGGAGTGGAGACTTACTCCGCCAAGATCCAGCAAAAATATAACCTCCATTTAAAACTTTCCCTGACCTCCACTCTCTTTTCTATGTTCCTATTGTACTTTATATAGATGTCTATTACAGCATTCTCACACTGAATGGTAATCACTTCTTTTCCTCCTATCTTCAGTCTCATGGAATTTATATACCCAAATCCTAGTCCAGTGCTTGGCACAAAATATATACTCTTTATATAGTTTCCAGTAAGTAAATGTGTGAGTGATTGCTAATTGTCCAGTTATGTTTATAGATTAGTCAAACTCCAGAACATGCAAAAAGGAATTAAAAAATAAGACACCCAGGACCATATCAGTGAGACCTTGACAGCAGGCCCAAATGAATCACCTCCCTCTTCCTATTATTACCACTCCTCATTTGAGAATTTATCATATGGAATCAGAGAATTCTACTTACCATTTTTCCAATCATCATTACATATGGGCCCAAGTATTTGTTCACGCCGAAGATGTCTAACAGACGGATGTACCAATAAATGATGTTCACACAATAGATGACCCTCCCATCACTCCTGAAGGGCTGGTCTTGGAGACGAAGGATCATTCCAACAGAGAACAGAAGGATGGCTATGAGGTCTGTGACATTCCAGTACTCCTGCAGCCAGACCTTCACTTTCTGTAGCAACTTCCCTGGCTCTGACATCAGAATCTAAGAGGCAAGAAAGAGAGTGGGGCTAGTTAGGATTGTGGTCTATATTTTCAGCCAGTTGGAAAGTGCTTGGCCCATTAATTGACAACTATAGCTTGGTTTCTTTTTCTGTGTCTACCGGAATACTCGCATGCTATAAATGTACAACTGGGCAAAGTTTGGGCCATATAAGTCATAAGTTTGATGTTTAGGGTTGTTTTACAACTCTAAGACTTGAATTAGCATTTCCCCTATAAAATTATTCATTCCTAATACCCCGCAAATCTCTGAAATCCTCCTCCATCTAAGTAAACAGCACCATCCTATTGAGTTACTCAGACCACCAAGTTGGGAGGACTTCTTTATTCTTTCACACCAGATGCTCTACATCAACATGTCCTATCACCTTTATTTCTAAATCCAGCCCAATCCAACCACCTCCACTGTGCCACTCTATTGTAAGCCCCATCACATCTCCCAGATGACCGAAACAGCCTTCTAACTGGTATTTCTGCCGCCACTGTTGCCCGCCCTGCCTCAACCACTTCTCTGAGCAGGACACTCTTTAAAAACTTAAGCCATGCCAAAACTGGTTTGGCTCAGTGGATAGAGCGCTGACCTGCGGACTGAAAGGTCCCAGTTTCGATTCCGGTCAAGGGTATGTACCTTGGTTGCAGGCACATCCCCTGTGGGGGATGTGCAGGAGGCAGCTGGTCAATGTTTCTCTCTCATGGATGTTTCTAGCTCTCTATCCCTCTCTCTTCCTCTCTGTAAAATTTAATAAAATATATTAAAAACAAACAAACAAACAAAACTTAAGCCATGCTCTAGGTGAGGATTATGCAGTTGTATGGGTATGTAAAACTCATCAAGCTGTAATTTTTGTTCATCCCCTTATAAGTAAATTACACTTCAATTTAAAAAGAGACTTGAGAGATAAACAAGAACAATAATTACTAAAGCCAATTTTGATAATCAAATGCTCTAATCATCTGATGCTTTCCTTACAGATAGGAAAAGATCCAAGCTCCTTGCTATGATTTCATTTGATGGCCCACCATAGTCTCCTCATTTCCCACCCTGCAGCCATGGCGGTCTGCTGTTAAGCATGGCAAATCCATTCTAGGCGCAGGCCGTTGGCACTTGTTCCTTCTCCCAGATCTTTACATGTTTGGCTTCTCTTCATCCTCATCCTCATCCTCAGGGTCTCTGCTCACGTTTTTCCTTCTTAGCCAACCTTCTTTGAATGCCCTCCCTGCAGTGGTCTCCAGAGCCCCAAGTCACTCTCTATTACTCTATTTTATTTTTTGAAGATTTTATCACTATATGAAATTAACGTCCGTATGTGTGTCTATGTGTCTGTCTGTTTATCTATCTATCTATCTATCTATCTATCTATCTATCTATCTATCTATCTATCTATCTGCTACCTATCTATCCATCCATCATCGCTTTCCATTCGACTGTAAATTCTGAGGGTAGACCCTGTGTTCCCCAGAACCTGTTACATAATACTCAATAAATACTTGTAGACTGATTGATTGTTGCAAAGACAACTCACAGCAATTCTCCTGTCCCTTTATTGCTGGGTGGGGCTCCAAATTAGCTTAAATATAGAGGAAACTTTTTGTTCACACACTTTCAATGAAATGAACAGATACATAGCAGGAGTTGGCACCCACCCTGTACCACAGCCTGCCCCAGGATACAAGGAGCCAGGAAGCCAGCCTACTGAGGCAATGTAACAGGGCTACTTGTAGGAATCATTTGTGTTTACCTCTCAGCATCCATCTTTTTGACTTATGACTCACCCCTTTCCCAATTCAGACTCTCAAAGGAGAAAGAAAAGACTGGGTCAGTTCTAATCTGCAGCTATCTATTTGAATTGGCCTATCCCCCTTTATGGCTTACTTTGGCCTGAAATAATAAGGAAGGGAGGTCATTGCAAGTCATGACGAGGGCTTGGAAGACTAAGCAAGCTACCAGGAGCCACCTGCTAGCTCATTCCTAAGCCAGGGCTTCTTAATTATTAGCATGCATCAGGATTACCTGGAGAACCACAGGTAACTGGGCCCTATCCCTGGGGTTTCTGCTTCAGTTTGCCTGGTGTGGGGCTCGAAGGTTTACATTTCTAACAAATTCCCAGGGGAAGCTGGTGAACGCAGACTGAGAACCATTGCTTCCTCCAATAGGAATTCCTGCAGCTGCTGTTGTCCTGGTGGCTTCTCACCCCCACCCCACCCTATGTGGGCAAAAATCTGTGTGTGCATGTGGGGGGGGGGATAAGGGGTAGGGGGCCACAGAGTTTCTCTTACCCTTTGCCCACACTTTTCTAAAAGTGTTCAACACAAGCTTTAGAGTATCATTTTTTATTTATTCTTTAAAAACGATTTTAATTGATTTTTCAGAGGAAGGGAGGGTGAGTGAGAGAGAAATATTAATGATGAGAGAATCATTGATTGCCTGCCTCCTGCATGCTCCCTACTGGGGATTGAGCCCACAACCTTGGCATGTGCCCTTGACTGGAATTGAACCCGGGATCCTTTAGTCCACAGGTCAACGCTCTATCCACTAAGCCAAACTGGCTAGGGCTATAGTATGGCTTATTAAATAGTGAAAATATTCTTGTGACTTCTCAACATTTAAAAAAAAAAAAAAAAAAAAGGACAAGCTAACTGGCTGGAGGCAAAGCTGGAGTAGAAAACTGAGCCCCACCCTCCGCCCCTGTCACTTCTCCAGCTGCCTTGGAGGCAGCTCTCAGGACCCTGGGGCTCCAAGGAGGATCCCAGTATGGCACCACAGCATGACTGAAAGGACGACGGGCGGGCCTGGGGTGGGGGCAGTCAAGTGTAAGACCTAGTTCCCCTCTCTAGCTGTGGGATACAGAAAAACAGCCCAAACAAGCCCTGAGTCTTACTAGTACTTTCCATGACAGTGAAGTGGAGATGCCAGCACAGCCCCACCGTTGACCTCACAGTGGTGGGGAGGACCCCAGTGAGACAATGTCTACCAGCGCACGCTGTAAACAGCCCCTCGCTATTAAGAGATTACTGTGGCTTGCTTGGGTGACTACACGCAGAAGTATGTGGTTCTGGGAATGGGAGGGCAGCTTGCGAAACCACAAAGCCTTGTGTATCCCTCCTCAGAAGCCTGCAAGCTTGGCCATGTTTCCAGAGTCTTGCATCTGAGATCTTGCGGGCCTGCGTGCTGCCTGTGAGGGGGGCCCTGTGGGGTCTTTGCTCTCTTGGCCGTTGAGCGTTTCTCGAATGGGTTCAGGGCCATGGGGTGGGCATGAGGGAGTGGCCTCCCCAGGCTGAGGAGGAAAAGGCCAGACACTATAGTGGTAGGTCCTCCGTCCTCACAGCTCCCTCAGAAGCAAGGCCTCTTCCGCCGAACCCTGCTGACCCCCTGCTGACCCCTGCTGACCAGGCTCCCAAGCCCTCTGCTATTACATGCCACCTCAGGAGAAATGGATATGCAGCCCGAGGTTCCTGGCAGCCTGCCTGCATGGCTGCCTCTCCCAGAACAGGCTGTGGAGTACAGACTGCTCCCTGTCTTCTTCCAGGCTCGTCCCTGGAGAGGGTCCAGCCTCCTTGCTCTAGTCCTTCCCTTTGCTGCTTATCACAGGGAAGGAACATGCATCTGGGCGTCAAATCACAGGGGAGCGAGCTGCCACTTCACAGCGATGGAGTCCTTAGCGGGAGCAGGTCTCGGCTCTCAGAGAGCCATGCAAAGACCACGCAAATGCATGGCTGTACAGAGGAGGCCACACTCTGCTCAGAAAGTAGAGGCACTATGGACTGGTCAGAGCAAGGCAAGAGGGCAAGGCATTTCAAAAAATATCTAGTCCCTTATAAAATGGGAGTAGTGTACCCACAGCCAAACTCTCAGGATGGGGGCATGCTGGTTAGAGTTTAAATGTTCCCAAAGCAGTTTAGAAACCCAAGAGAAGGGCTTGAAATATATATATAATTAGTACATGAGATGTTTTTATGTTCTTAATAGAAAGGAGTCTAATAAATACTGCACCTTTGTCTCTACAGGAGAACATTCTAGAGCTGAGGCCTAAGATAGTAAGGGCCTTTTAACCTATTTTAGTAACGAAAACCATGATGGATTTGTGGATTTGCAAGAATCCCTTTTCCCATGGAACTCAATATATTTCCCCACTCACTGTGATACAGAGAGTAGGATGTTCAGGATAGAGGGAGCAGTAGATGTGACAGGAGCATTCTTCCAGAAAAGGCCTCTCTGCAGTGTAGTGTCAGGAGGAAAATGCAGAAGAATCATACCCACAAGCCTGCCTTCCCTGTGGGTCTGGGAACGGGAGCTTGGGGAGGCTGTGAGCAGGGCTGCAGAGCCCTCTGGTGGACTGTTCATTCATCTGAGCAGTTCTGAATGTGATGGCCTCTGTGGCTGCCTTCCAGTGTCCTGCAGGGGTGGTGTTATGATGGCTCCTTTAACTCCACAGGAGGTGGGTAGGAGGGGTGTGGTGGTGGGGAGGGTGAAGAGAGGGACCTACACTCTCAACCTGAAGGGTGAGAAATAGGCTCAGTTCACTCCAGTGATGCCCAGGGCTGGTGCTCAGAAAGTATATAACAAATATTGAGAAGGTATATAACAAAAATTTGTTCTAGGAATAAATTAACTTCCTAGAACAGCTAAAATGTACTTCGGAGAATCATAGGTATTGGTGCACCCTGTCCAAAGAGACACCCAGAGGGAGGGGTTTGCAATGGGAGTTAAAAGTGGAAAGATTTAAACATTTAAAAAATATATAAAAGTGGAAAAACTTAAAAAGTCATGTTTATAGGGAGAAGTAAACACTTGTAAACAGTCCAGCCAGTATGGATCAGTGGTTGAGCATTGACCTATGAACCAGGTGATCACGGTTTGATTCCCCGTCAGGGCACATGATCGGGTTGCCAGCTCAGTTCCCAGTGTGGGCTGTGCAGGAGGCAGCCAACCAATGGTTTTTCTGTTATCATTGATGTTTCTCCCTCTCCCTTCCTCTCTGAAATCAATAAAAATATATTTAAAAACAAACACATCTGTAAACAGTGTTGAAGACAACTTGAGGGATTCCTAGGCAAATGCTATGTGAGCAGGAAATGGACTAATCCCTGGGGCTCATGGATGACCACCCTGCAAACACGCTGGGAGGCCTCCCCAGGGTTGTCAGCAGCCCTCAAAGCCATGTCCACATTTCTGTGGCCATGTCAGAGAACCTTTTCTTTCAAGTTCTGCATTTGCTCAGATCTGGAGCGTCCCCCTCGCCCCTCCTCGCCCAGATGTAACCACCCGCTGTCTTTTCCCTCAGTTCTTTTTTATGGAAGTGGTTACCTCTCTCATCTTTTCTATGCCCAGGGTGAAAATGTAGGAAATGACGATCCATTCCTGGGTGGAAGGCCAGCGCTCCATCTTCACTAACACGATATAGTTGAAGAGCATCAGGTAGCCGATGTACGCCAGCTGTAAGGAAACACAATACGGTGTTCTGGCTGCAAGGCCCTGGAGCCCTGCCCTTGGGCAAGGCTACCTCACGGCCGGGCAAGAACAAGGTCAGCGAGCGAGACTTCGAACTCATGAGCGTCAAAGCTCTAAACTCTCAGGAGGATATAGTAAGAAGATGGTAATATTGGAAATAGTTTTGATATGCAATCTCCCTTTGGACTCTCCCATTTGCCTCTGGGTTATGAGGCATCCCTTCGTTTTGCAAGGACCCCAGCCTCTCACTACTCCCTGGCTAACAAGGGAACCTCTTCTCGCCAGAGCTGCGCTTGCTCATGCGTGAGCCCGAGGTGCTTGAACTAGGGCAGCACAGTGGATCTGTGCCTAACGAGTGCCAGGTGGATTGAATGTCCATAAGAAGGAAAAGAAGAAGTAAATCGGTCAAGCCAACACAAAAATAGCCCGGACTTTATCTAGAAGCCGGACTTGAATTCTCTTCTGAGATACTGTCTCTTTCCCCCCTCCTCCTCCTACCTTATGGTGGTTGGCCTGGCAGTGCCCTGGCAGGGCTTTACCTGTTTCTCATTGCACCACCTTCCTGCCCTAGTCAAGCTGGAATATTCCTTCCTGGTGTCTGCTTCTTTGAAACAAAACAAGAGAAAACAAAGCAATGTTTTCGAGAGGTGTGGTTGACTGTCAGCTTGGAGTGAGCTCATGGGGCACTGGCATAAGTGGCATCAGAGTCTGAACCCTGTTGAGACTGGCTGGCTCACTCGCTGGGTGTCCCTGAGAGACTCAGGGTTCAGGTTTGGTGATGTCCCTGGTGGCTTCAGTGATGTCTAATGGCCGGAATGTGGAAGGCCTGGTGAGCACAGGGGTCAGGAGCTTAAGAGGAAAGACTCACCTACGGGAAATGGCATATAAGCTAAACCTTTTCTAGGCAAAGCTTCAAGCTGAGGAAGGCACTTGTGGCTTCAGGGGCTGAGGGGCTGTGGAAGGAAGAGTGAGTTTATTCAAATCTTCTGTACTCTTTGGAGCCTGCATAGCAAATGGGACACAATGTGGGCAAAGGATTGAGGCCTTGAGGTTCAGGAGACAGCCTGACCCTGCAGCCCGGGGGCAGTTTGGAAGGTGGAGAAAGAGGATGCGAGATACAAGGAGAAGCTGGCAGTCTACAGAGCTAGAGAAATGCTGCTTTCTCTACTAATGGGCTCCCTCCCTCTCTCCCCTCCTTCCTTCCTTCTCTCCTTCCTTCCTTCCTTCTCTCCTTCCTTCCTTCCTCTCTCCTTTTCTTTTGAAAATACATAGATTCTTGATATGAGCCAAAGGTATTTCGGATATCCTATTACATTGACACATTTATAAACACAGCCATATAATTTCTCATCTCTTGAAAGGTAGGCATTTAGGTTGGGGTTCAGTGAGATCACATGTGGGAGCAGGAGAGCAGTTTTGGAGATGCTGGAGGGCCTACAGGGAAGTTTGTTCCTGTGTGCAACCCTCCCCCCCCCCAGGGACTGTCATTTTAACCACGGCTCAGTGCCTCCCCCACTCCCTCAGGATCATTAGCTCATTGAGAGCTCCTCACCTGAAAAGAGCGTACTGGACCTGAAATCATGTGGGTTGCTGTTTAAAATGGCATTTGGTTCACCTGGTCACTGTTACCATTACACACTCCAGTCCCCGGGTGTATGGCATTTTACAAGCGGCATAAAGAAAAGGACTTCGATGGTTAAACTCGAAAATGTACCATCAGCCTCCTTCTGGACCTGAAACCCTTCTCCCTTTCTGGTTGCTTCCTTCTCTTACGGGATTATGTTCTGTTACTTCTAGGTGAAATGAATCTTGTTAACTGCCCTGGTTTTTATCATTTCACTCAATTTGTTGCAAAACATTACAAAGCATTTTCTTCTCTTGCCACATGGAGGCCCAGTGACACACACATTCTTTCAGGACCTCTGCATTTTAGTACTTAAGTACAGGCAAGCACCCGGAGATCCTGCAGTTCAGTTCCAGGCAATAGAGCGGGGTCACAATAAAGCCAATCATTATCTTTTTGCGGGGGGAGGGCCTTGCCTTGCATTTGTAAGAGACACAGCACCTGTGAAGCGCAGTAAAGCCAAGCACAATAACTGAGGTGTGCCTGTAACTCCTCCAACCACCTCTGCGCTCCAACACGGGCCTAGTGTGTTTGTTTGGTGGGAGGAACAGTGTTTGGGGAAAGGAATGGAGACACAGAAGTCAGAAAAACTTGGATTTCAATCCTATCTCAGATACTCGCTGGCTGCATCATTTTGTGATTTCACTTCATGTGCTTGGCCCTCCATTCTGGGAAATGGAGATGATGGCTCCTGACCTTACAGAGCTTTTGAAAGGTTTGGGGTGTTTGTGAGAGGGGATATGCATTTACCTCCGGACACAGAGAATGGTGGCTAACACCCACAAGCAGGGCTTTAAACATGTTTAAACAGCACAACGGAGGAGCAGCTGCTGTGCTGGAAACAACCTACCTTAGAACTTGCCGAGATTCACAGAGCCGGCTGCAGACCTCAACATGACATACTTTAATGGTGTGTGTGTGTGTGTGTGTGTGTGTGTGTGTGTGTGTGTATTCACACAGATATTCTGTGAGTTTTCTCAAGCTCTATGTAGAATGCTAAAGCTTTGAAAAGGAATATAACCTTATGATTCTTAGTTAAACCAATTTGTATGCTTATATAACCTTTTTAGAAATGTTCCGTTAACCAAGATGTATTAATATGACTCCTAAACCATGAAATGCAAGTGCCAAAGCCTTGCCTCCTTTTCCTACTGCCCCTTGAGAGTGGAGGGGTCACATGGCGTTTTTATAGGAAGAGGTCTGTCCCAGCTGACCGGGGCACATGCCCTGCCCTCTGACCTGGGACCATGCCACACCTTGAATTGGCATCCTCTCTAAGGGGCACTTGAAGCAGCTCTGATCACAGACACAGCCTGTGAGCCAGTTGGGTCCCTCCCCTCCTTTCCTCTTGGGGCAGAAGGGGCCCCAACTGGAAACTCGCTATGACCTACAAGTGAGGTTATGTGCACACGAGGTGTGTCCCACTCTGAGGACCTTGAGTGTGTAGAAGGAGACACTTTTGGCATAAAGTCTGGCAAACACTCTTACAGAAGAGAACACACCGAAACCACACAGCACTGTGTGACCTAACGCTGACTTTTATGGTGAAGCATCCCTGGAGATTTAAAAGGTTGACACCCCCATCTCCATTTACTTCCTTGAGGTTGGGCTTTGTCAATAAATAAGGATTTCTGAAAATCGTGTAAACACAATCGAACATGACTGGAGCACCCAACCTGATGGGTTTCCTGAGGCTGATCCAGCCAGCCACACAGAAGGAGCGGATACACACCCCCACTCCTCAGAGAGGTGGCTTCCCCGCCAGCCGCCTCTGAAACAAGGAAAGCATTGCATTCGGTTTCCTGGACCACCAGATTCACCTGGGAAGCTTGTTACACACACAGCCCCTCAGCTCCTCTCCCTGGACACTTAATTTAGAGGGTCTTTGATGGGGCCCCATATTTGTATTTCCAACAAATCCCTTATCATAATGGAACACTGGGCCCTCCGTCTGGGGTGGTGGTTGCCAGCTCTGGCTGCTCAATGAGAATGCCGTGGGGCTCTGACATATCCTGGTGCCCAGGCTGGGCCCCAGGCCGATGCCGTCAGAATTTCATGAATGCATAGCCAAGGCTGAGAACCACTGGCCAGGGCATGTGTAATTTTAAAATCTTCTTGGCTAACAACTTGCCTCAGATGAGAAAAAGTGGGGACTGGAGTAATCAAGGAAATAGAGTGAATACTGAACACAGGTCAAGAAAAAAAGAGAAATGCCTTGGGAGGACCAGAGAAGTGAGTGTTCTTTATAAAGCGATGGGTAATTCTGCTACTAGCTTGGTGTCTGCTCTCAGTCAGGGACCTGCAAATGTTTTGTAAAGGGCCAGAGAGTTCATTTTTAAGGCTTTTTGACCTGATGGGCTCTGAAGCAAGTAATCCACTTAGCATAAAAGCAGCCAGCGTGTAGGTGAATGAGTAAATTGGCTGTGTTCTAATAAAACTTTATGGACACCGCAATATAAATTTTATATAATTTTTATGTGTCACAGAGTATTCTTCTTTTGATTTTGTTTCAAGTGTTTACGAATGTAAATCCATTCTTAGCTTGCGGGCCACAGTAACAGGCAGTGGCTGGATTGGGCCTATGAGTTCCAGCTTGCCAAGCCCTAATCTAGGCAAGACAACAGGGCAGTCCGACTAGCAGATAAGAGGAAGGACAGTGAAAATATTACCTAGATGAAACTATTACATTCGGGAAAGTGTATAGAAACACCTAGAACAGTGCCTCATAGTAGGTGTTCAATAAATGACATTTTATTATTGTTGAGTGGACGCTTGAATAAAACACTAACTCTTGCCCTTCAGTGGAACTAGCCTAGGAGAACAAGGTGCTCTCAGGCACTGTTCTCAGTGTTTTACCCGTTTTAGCACATCTAATCTTTACTAAACTTCCTGCAGGAGGCACTGTGATTACCCCCAACCTTAAGAATGCTGGGGACAGAGAACTAAAGGAACTGGCTTAAGTCACAAGTTTCTTTACTAAGTCAGGATTTCTACTCAGGCTGTGTGACTCCAAAGTCCATGCTTGTCACTACTAAGTTGTTTTCTGCAAGGTAAAAATAACATACATCTGTATATGCACATGCATAGAAATAAACTCTCCATGCCTTCGTTATTATTTTTAAGAGAAAATTAAAAAAAAATCAATACATTTAAATTTTGCTTCACTAAAAAAAAGTCAATCTTTATATTTTGATAATATCCATCCTCTTTCAAGACTGTATGTTTAAGAGGGAATTTTCAACTGGTGGCGATTTTACCCCACAAGGGGACATCTGGCAGTGTGTGGGACAAGGCATAATTGGGTGTGAAGTGGTCAGTGTGCTGCTACAATACACGGGACAGGCCTCCTTAACACAGAATTACTCTGCCCCGAATGTCCTCAGTGCCGAGAAAGCTCCATTTAATGCCAGCGTGCAGTGCTAGCATGCAGCACCGCACGGAAAGCACCTCAGCTGGTCATTTGAGTCACTGTGGCCTCAGCCTCGGGTTATCCTGTTGCTGACTCAGGGACTGGTGAGTAGCTGGTTGTGAGAAAGGCCAAAAGTACAGACGTACTCTCCTTCGCCTGGCACAGCTCCACTGTGGCCGGAGAGAAGCAGACATGACCTGGGCCACAGCTCACCTTCAACTTGAAATATCGTTGAAAAGTAGAAGAAACCTAACAGGCGAGCCATTTCTACCACTCCAGGAGGCTATTTCAGGGACCGTCTTTCATCTTATGGGCAGACAGTGTCTGCAGGGTGTGCTCACTGAGCAGTATTTGCCAGGATTGCAGTTTGCTTTAACAGTTTGCATGTTAACTGGGTCAGAGCAAGAAAGGTTGTTCGATGACACTGCCAGATGGGGCGTGATGACACACTCATCTTCAGTGGTGTTACTCCTAACACTCTGTTCAGCCCATACCCACAGTATCCCCCAAAACCGGCACTGGCATCTAACACAGACAACTCTGGAGCCCTGGCCTGGTAGCTCAGTTGTGTGGAGGCTGTGTGACTCCAAAGTCCATGCTTGTCACTACTAAGTTGTTTTCTGCAAGGTAAAAATAACATACATCTGTATATGCACATGCATAGAAATAAACTCTCCATGCCTTCGTTATTATTTTTTAAGAGAAAATTTTAAAAAAATCAATACATTTAAATTTTGCTTCACTAAAAAAAAGTCAATCTTTATATTTTGATAATATCCATCCTCTTTCAAGACTATGTTTAAGGGGGAATTTTCAACTGGTGGTGATTTTAACAGTTTTAACATGCAAACTGTTAAAGCAAACTGCAATCCTGGCAAATACTGCTCAGTGAGCACACCCTGCAGACACTGTCTGCCCATAAGATGAAAGACGGTCCCTGAAATAGCCTCCTGGTGTGGTAGAAATGGCTCGCCTGTTAGGTTTCTACTTCTACTTTTCAACGATATTTCAAGTTGAAGGTGAGCTGTGGCCCAGGTCATGTCTGCTTCTCTCCGGCCACAGTGGAGAAAGGTTGTTCGATGACGCTGCCAGATGGTTAGAGAGTTGTCCTGATATGCCAAGGTTGCAGGTTTGATCCCTGGTCAGGGCACAGACAAGAACCAACCACTGAATGTATAAATAAGTGGAACAATAAAAAATCAGTGTTTCTCTCTGTCTCCCTCTCTCTCTCACCAATAAAAAAACAAACAAAAAATATGCAACCAGGAACTCTAATCCAGCGCTCATCCATCTAAAAGAGGGAAGCATTTTATAAAATGACATCTATTTTCCTGCTAGACTAGATTCATATTTATCTCACCTCTATTTCTGTAACTTCTCACTTTTACTATTTCCTTTATTTTCTGTGAGGAGCAGAAACGTAGATGCCACGGAAGCTGGCTCACAGACTCCACAAATCTTTCTAAGCTATTAGAAAAGGCAAGGTCACCCTAGAGCTTTTGTTTATGCCTGTGTGGTGTTCACATTTATGACTCACAGAGGACACCACCCAGGTGCCTGAGAAATGGACGTTGGCCCCTTGTGGTCATGCATTAGGAAGAAGAAAAGGCAAGATACTTACAGTGTAGAACCAGAACTTCACGATGGGGGCATTGTAGAACTCGTAGATTTTTCTGCCCAAGGGGATTAACCGGTGCCTGCTCTGAACTTCTTCTTCATCCTTCTTCCTCGAAGACTCCCCGTTGCTTCGTCCCAACATTGCCTGCAGTGGAAGGGAATGAATACCATCACAGCAAGGCTCTGGAGGTCATGGAGTTCAATGTGCTCATTTACGCCTGGCTTCTGTGCAGCACTGCTGGGCGGCCCAGAGGCCCACTCTGTGCCCCAGCCCGAGGCGCTCTGTGCTCACCACATTTCTGCATGGGGACTTGGGCTCCATGATTCAAGCAGAATGGGGTGCATGGGGGTCTGGGGCCCAGGTGTTGCCCAGGGGCCAGAGGTCAGCTGGGGGCCTGCCATTCCATGCCAAACGCTCTAGCCTTGATCGCCAGCCAGGCCTAGGGATCGCACCCATGCATGAATTTCGTGCACCAGTCCTCTAGTATAAAATATTAGCTTTGACTATTTTTGTCATTGTCTCAAATATCCACGTCACTCACATATCTATCAATCACAAATGATTTGCCTGTGATCAACAGGATTTCTGGAGAAGGTAACGTCCATTCCTTTATGGACCCTTTGGCTAGAAAAGTACCTCGAGTTAATGAATAGGTACCATTCTATTCTCTGGCCTAGTTAGGAGTTGGTTTTGGTCAGTAAGTTGAATCAATGTTCGTGATGGATATAGTAAACTAGAAAGCAATAGAGTTTCATAAAATATTGATCACCGGCTCCAAGAAACTCTGAGGCTACATATTTGTCCCTGTATAACTTTATAATTTATGTAACATAAACACAATTACCCTACTTCTGTTTATTTATGTGCTCAACACATAAATATTTGGGGACACAGTGAGATGAGAGTAAAGGCAGTTGGGAGGGTTTAGGCATCTTGGGGAGTGGCATCTTCAGGTAACCTCGAGGGACAGCGGCTTTCCCAACAGAGTCAGAACGATGCCCTGGGCCTGTGAACATGTTGAGATTTCATTAGGCAAAATGCAAGACTTTCATCTGGCAATGCAGGTCAAACAAAAACAAAAATACAACCACCTGTTTTGCCCAGACATATTTGAACGTGGATGAATTTTTAAATGGCTTGTCTTTCATGAGTTTAAGTATTAAAAATGATTTCTTAATTTACTTATTTTAGGGAGAGAGAGAGGGAGAGAGGAAGAAAGAGAGGGAGAGAAACATTAATTTGTTGTTCCTCTTATTTATGTATTCATTGATTGATTTTTGTATGTCCCCTGACAGGGGATCGAACCTGCAACTATGGAGAATCAGGATGATTCTAATCGTGACCGAGCTACCCATCTGGGGCCAAATAAAGCATTTTTGATATTATATTAGTTCCAGCCAAGCAGCTTAATTTGCTGATCTTGTTAATTTCCCTCCCCAGTAGTCAAACATTTCCTTTGCCTACATTCCTTAAAGCAGAATGAAACAGGGCCAAATACAGACAAAACTGTACAATATGAATTTGAAAAATCATTGCTACCTGAACACAGATGTCAAGTCTGGGTGAGATCCTTTGAGATGAACTAAGCTATTAAATGCTCCTAAAATTAGCAATGGAAGGCTGATATTTCATGTACAGCTTTGGAAGGGCCAAGAAAAACGGTCGCATTCTAAGAGAGGAAATACTAGTTTTACACGGTCAAATATTAATCCTATAAAAAGAGCAGAGGTGTCAACAAGCTGCATTCTCCAGTCCTATCCAGGGTCCGAGCTGTGACAACCTTTATCAATAGGCTCAAAGGAAGTCCTACCTTGAAGACAACTGCCATCCTTCCTTCCCTTCTCCCTGTCCTTCCAGCCCGTGGAAAAGAAGCTGGAGCAGCAATGCCATGTTGGTGGCTTCTACTTGTGTTCTCAGTAAATACCCAGTAAATATCTCTGAGAAGCAGACTTAGTCTCAGCCCAGAGATGTATCTTTATTGTGGCTTCTTGAAGGGTCAGGTTCCCAAAGCTCTAGAACATGCATGGGGAACCTTTTTTTTTTTTTTTTCCTGCTAAGGGCCATTTGGATATTTATAACATTTGCGTCCATACAGAGTTATCAACTTAAAAATGAGCCTGCTATATTTGGTCAAACATTTAATTAATCCACCTCTAATGCCTTGGCAGGGCCAAACAAAATGATTTCACAGGCCTTATTCGGCCCAAGGGCCAGACATTCCCCACCCCTGCTTGACTGAGCAGGAGAAGGAAGCTGCCTTCCTTGAGACCCAACAAGAAAAAAATACTGCCTTCAGCTTCTGGCTACCTTCCTAAAAACCTCCCTCAAGTTTTCCTAGGAAGTACGCCAATGTCAAGGCCTTGCCATACTTGACATAGGAGTCCCTTGCATCACTTTCAGATCCTCTCTGCTACATGGTAGACCAAACCAGCCGAGTGCCTACATTTTGAGACTGGGACAAAAATTTAGCATTCCTTAGCCTATCAGCTAAAAGCAGGGCCAATGAAATCTCTATGCCTGGGTTCTAATGCCAGCTTTACAACTATAGTTAGCTGAGTACCCTTGGCAATTTAACCTCTCTGAGTCTCAGCTTCCTCATCTGTAAGATGGGATAAATAATACCGTTTCCCCGAAATAAGAGTGTCTTATATTAATTTTTTCTCCCAAAGTTGTGCTAGGTCTTATTTTCAGGGGATGTCTTATCTTTCCATGCGCTAGGTCTTATTTTCGGAGGATGTCTTATTTTCGGGGAAACATGGTAGTACCTACCGGTGGGACTATTGTGAGGACTCCACCAGTAAATGCATGTGAAGCACTTAGCACTGTTTAATCAAGGCTTACCATGTGTTCGACACCAGTGTACATGGTTTACAGGCACACTTTTTTATATAGTCTACATGCACCTGTAAGTTATTATTATTCAGAGGTTAAGACACTGTGTCTTTGGTTCCACAGTGAGTAGGTGATGGGGCAGGATTCTGGATCCAGGGCAAACACTCTTTACCCCTCTGCTGAAGCTGGCATTAAGATCCTGTAGTACTGCTGAAACCGGTTTGGCTCAGCGAATAGAGCATCGGCCTGCGAATTGAAAGGTCCTGGGTTTGATTCCGGTCAAGGGCACGTACCTTGGTTGCGGGCACATCCCCATTGGGGGGTGCAAGAGGCAGCTGGTCGACGTTTCTCTCTCATCGACGTTTCTAACTCACTATCCCTCTCAATTCCTCTCTGTGTAAAAATCAATAAAATATATATTTTTTTAAAAAAAAGGATCCTGTAGTACTACCGTGTTTCCCCGAAAATAAAAGGCGAAAGATTTATGCGATCTGAAGAGAAACCAGAGTATGCTTCCCTGAAAATAAGACATCCTCTGAAAATAATACCTATCGCATGGAAAGATAAGACATCCCCTGAAAATAAGACGTAGCGCAACTTTGGGAGAAAAAATTAATATAAGACACTGTCTTATTTTCGGGGAAACAGGGTACTACAATGCTTCTGCTCATAAAGTATGTCCTATCCTTGAAGGGTGCAGAGGCCAATGAGTCAAAAGCTGTGAATGATTTATCAATCAAAAGAGCGTCCCGATGTATATACCCTGTTACACACGAGGCTGAAATGGCGCCTCAAAATAGATCTTTAGAAAGGGCCTAGTGGAAAGAAATAGTGTTTATTTGGAGGAAAAAGTGATTCACAGAGGTGTCCTCCTAGGATAATAATGCAAAGGCCTTTTGTCACCTGAGCAAAACCAATTTTTGTTTTCTCCCCTTATGGCTTCTCTGGGTCATCACAGTGACCGGTGGGAGGGCTGGGGAGGGTGGGGCAAAGCAAGGAGGTCCTGTGGAGTTGGTGCCTGATGTCTCCAAGGCTATGAAGCCTTGTTTGTCCCTTTCACAGCCTGTGATATTTTTAGACCTTGTCTACAATCCAGCGGCAGTCACGCTGCTCCGGCAGGGGCTGCGGGAAGCTGTCCCATGCCCAGCTGCCCCGTTCGCCCTGCAGAACAAAGCATCCATGCTCTATAATTACACCAGGAAGAGCTAAGAAAAACCTTCCATACAAACATTAGAATTCAATTCATTGTGAGCCTGACCCTGAAGACGGATAAAGGCTCAGCTTCTGATCAGAAGAAGAGTTCCAGCTCAGTGAAGCTGGCTGCTCCCAAATCACCACTCTCCTTTCTTTCCTCAAGTGCTGAGGCTGCCACATCACCTGCTGTTAATACTGCTCTGCCTGATGGGAAAATTTAGGGTGCCTTGCTTTTGAATTTCATTGGATTGTCCTGTACCACTGACCCTGGCTGAAAAATTTCACACATAATTACTTCCCAGAGTCATATTATTTGTGCATAGAGAGGACACTTTCATAATACCCTGATCTCACTACTCAAATGAAAGCAGCTGGTGGGAGGCTGACCTCAAGAGTTACTGAATCTTAAGCCATATCAATGGGTTAAGCCATATCAATCTTAAGCCATATCAATGGGATGAGGGACTGTCCCCATGGGCAGTAACTGAGGAGCATTTCCTTACTGTCAGTTCCATATCCTCTTCATCTTTTTCTTTCGTGGGCTTTTCTGGTTCCTCTGGCTCCCTCTCTTGGAGATGGATTTCCTGGGCCTGAGTCATATAAGGCATGTCGTCTTTGTTCTTGAACTCCAAGCTGAGAATTGAAGGAGGAAGTAGAATTCCCAGAATTACCTAAAGTAATAATAATGATAATAATAATAATCACATTTAAGGGATTAAGATTAGAGTGGTTGCTTAGAATCAGAGGGCCTGGGGGTGGTGTGTGTGTGTGTGTGTGTGTGTGTGTGCCCCAAGTTAGGACCTGCATATTTGAATAATTATGTATATTAATGCTACAAGAATCATTTGTGTCAACCTGGGAACTGTTATGCACCATGTAGGATATTTTTACAATAAGCTTCTTTGCTGTAAACATCTTTACCGAAAGCATTTTTGCTGTAAAATTAATTGGCCGTAAAGCAATTTTGCCATAAAAGATAAAGTAAATGGTCAACAGTTTGGGTTGACAGTGTACTCCCATTTTTATATTACATAAATCTTAGCCCTCATATTGGTCTATACAGTGACAACTAGACATGGCGGTCTTAAAATAGTGAATGATAACTATGTATATCAACTTGATAGAAAATATAGTGACAAACTTACTGAAAGTGTGAAATAAGAGAGTATAAAGCCAGATTTCATGCTATACTAGAATATGATAACTGACATATTTGAAGGTGGGGAATTGAACTCACATTTCTCATAGAACTTTGGAATGTCTATCAATAGACATGTGACAATATGCCAAGAATAAAAACAATAGGTAAGCAGCTCAGCTCAAAAAAAGAGACAGATCAATAGGCAATGAGTGTGTAAGTGCTTAACTACAACCCACAAGATAAAACGGATTATTTGCACAGTATTATCATGAATCTACACATGTTTTAAATGAATTCAGATATTTTGAATTTCATAATAATCTTAATTTTGTTATGAAAAATGGATCTCATTATGTCCTTTTTACTGTCCCTTTTTATTTTATTTTATTTTTCTTTCTTTTATTTATTTTTCCACCATCATTTACCCCCCATACGCTCTTCCATCTTCAAATCCCCTCTCCCTCTCTCCTCACTCTCTCTTCCCAAAATGACCACATGATTGCCTGTGTCCATGAGTTTCTTCTCTTTTTTTTCTTTTTTGCTCAATCTCTCCACCTCCCCCAACACCCACTCCCTCTAGAGCTGTCTGCTTGCTCTTGACCTATGAGTTTGTTAATTTTAAAGATTTTATCTTGTACAGAAAAATTGTCTTGTGGCCAATTAGTTTTGTGGCAAACATGTTTGTGGCAAAGCAGCTCTGCAAAAAAAACCTATAATCATTGTGCACAGTAGCTCAATCTGATTTTGGTGAAACAAAGTATCTTACCAAAATATATATTATCCAATTAAACTCACTTTGCATGGGGGAAACTGAGGAAAAAGAGAGAGCCTACCCAAGGCAGAAGTGGGAAAGAACTGAGTTTCCCATTTAGCCATTAAATAGCACTCGATTGGTGAAATCAATTTATACTTATATCCTCTGGCATTTATTTGCTAGTTTGACAATTGGAGTTGATCGTGTCATCTGATTATCTCTAAAAAAAAATGCTATTCTAAGTTGATCTTGAGAAAGTCCATGTCGGAAAGCATTTTATTCATTTTAGAGCTTCCCCTGGTATCTACTACTATCCCACCGAAACACACACATACACACCCTAGCAGGCTCTGTATTCACCACAAGAAGCCCCTGTTCAATTACAGCATCCCACACTGTATTTCTCTCATGTATAAAACAACATGCTTAAGTCTCCCTGTGACAATACATCTCCCACCTCTTCCCTAATTCTAAAATGGTTCTATTGTACAAAGTTCCAGAATATGAACCGAGGTGAGGGGCAAAGAGGATCCTGGAGGGTAAGTAAAAATAATTCTCAAGTAACAAGCAAAGGACAACCCATGCTCAAATGCCGCTGGAGCAGCTAAGGAAAAAGGGAGAGTGATGGCCCTGAACTCAGGGTGCCTGGCAGCTGGGAAAGCTCAGGTGGCCTGCTGGCAGCCTTGAGGGGACGTGACACCCTGTCCTTGGAGCTGGTAGCCAGGCTTGGCGGTCACCAGCAGCACAGCTAGGGAACACCCTTGACCCACTTCATGGCAACCTTCTGTGACTTCTGGCCAAGAGCCATGGAAGGGTGGAATAGAGGAGGGGGTGCTGGTTCAGCCAGGGTGGCCTCAGTGATCCCTCTGGTCTCATGGCCTCAATGATCCTTTCTGCTTTGGGCTGCTCTCAAAGTTACCCAGATCAGGTAGTTCTAGGTAAATATGAGCTTGGTTTCACTCGAAACAGCCACAAACTCTAAACAGATAAACTATTTTAACACATTCATTTCATCTTCCCCCTCCTATTTTTGCATTTCTTTTGCTTCTTTCAGTTCAACATTTTCTTTAAAAAGCATTAAGAAAACATAAAAGGCAAAGCCACACATTATCCTTATACTTCAACCCTAGTAGTGGGAACACTGCAATTTACTGTGTATTGTTCCTGTTTTGTTTTGTGTGTGTGTGTTTTTTTAAAACATCATCTATACAATCGTAACTATACATGTACATACTTTAAAAAAAAACAAAAAATTGTCTCAGGTTACGTATGTGATAATCTGCAACTTGTTTTTCTTCATTTGAGAATAGATCAAGATTATCCAGCAATGTCTTTACATATAAATCTATCTCAGTTTAAATGATTTATTTCAGTTTAAACGATTTCTCAGGCATAGCTGAATAAGAGCCGATGTCTCTTTTGATTGGTGTAAAGGAGGCCAGGGCATTCCATCATCCTCGCAGTGAACAGTTGCCCAGGTAAGCCACTCATTGTACAGTGTAGCTTGTGCCAGAACACATGGTACCCCTACAGAACCTGAGTGAGGCTGTCACATGTAAGATCTTCTGAAAAATAGTCATGTCTAGGCACCATCCCTATTGATTTAGCAATATTTAGAGGAGGTCTTAGCCTCTACATGAAAACAAAACAAAACAAAACAAACAAGAAAAAGCACTACTACACAGAAGTTCCTGATGCAGTTGGAGTGTAGAGTCACCCTCCTGAGATAATGAAAATGCCTAACCCCACTGCATATTCAGCTTGGAAAACTCCAACCAACCCTCTGGTGCTCGTAGCCCATAGAGCCTTCTGGGTGCACTGACCTTCAGGCCTGAGTTCTTGCGCATCCGGAGCCGGCCCATCCACATGTCTGTGAGCAACATCTGGCTGCACGTGTGTGCGATGAAGTCGCGGTGCTTGGCAGCCACCGCAAGCTGCAGGCATGTGGCGTTGCTCCAGTTCTTGAGCTCGTATGTCAGCAGCTTCATGGCCAGTTGCTCATCCTGCTTGTAGGACTGGTCCAGGAGCTCCACGGCCAGCTGGCCAAAGTCTCTGAAAAAGAGAATGTGAAGGGTCATTTTGGAGACCCACTGGCCAAGCCAAAAAAGGTGGGTTCTGAAAGGTCTAGTTGTTTTTTATGGGATCTAGTCTCTTCACTCATTCATCCAGCCATCATCCATTAAACAGCTAGATGTGCCAGACACTGTGTTTAAAACCAAGGGTGTAAGTCGAACAAGGCATGACCCCTGCACTCAAGACCCTCAATTCAAGGTATATGGATGAGGACGGCAGATCAATAAATCAATGATTAGAGTGTGTCTTCTTCAGACCTCAGTTCAAATCTGAGCCTAGCCACAAAGTTGTCATCTTGGACGAGTTATTTAAATTCTACTTATTTCCTTTAGCTGTAAGGGCGGGGTTCTAGGTGTATTTGCTGTAATCATTTTTGTTGCACACCTAATTGGCTGTAAGGCAATTTCACCATAAAAGATCAAACGGTGGACAGTTTGGCTTATGGTTGACAGAATTTATTTAAGCTAGTTGTCAGTTTAGTTTCATGCCTCCATGGAGGAGGTTCTTATAGTTACTTCCATTTTTACATTATATAAATCTTAGCCCTCATAATGGTCTATACAACAATGAGTAGATGTGGTGGTCTTAAAACAGTGGACATTAAAAACTACATTTAAAGCCAGATTGCACACTGTGCTAGACAATGATAACATATCAGTTTGCATATCATTCAGTGACCACAGTCATCCTCCCATCCAGCAGAACTGAACGTTCACCACGTTATGGCAAATATAAAAGAAAAGTATATATGATACTATAAATGAAAGACTTTGAAGGCAATTCATTTACATTTTTTTGCAAAACAGTTTTTAACTTTTGTTAATAATTTTTCACATTCCATGATATCATTTTTAATGTCCTTCTTTTGTTTTTCATTATTTTATCTCTTATGGCAAAATTGCTTTACAACTGATTACCTGTGTGCTAAAAATGCTTGCAGCAAAGATGTTTATGGCAAATATGCCTACAGTGAAAATACCAGCCATGTTGAGAGGATGAAATGAAATCTTTTATAATCTGTTTGTACCGCCATAGCTAGTGCGGTCTACCATAAACAGTAATTATTTTCTAAAAAATATATTTTTATTGATTTCAGAGGGGAAGGGAGGGGGAGAGAGAGATAGAAACATCAACGATGACACCAATGATGAGAATCATTCATTGGCTGCCTCCTGCACACCCCACACTGGGGATCGAGCCCATAACTCCGTCATGTGCCCCTACCAGGAATTGAACCTTGACTTCCTGGTTCATAGATTGATGCTCAACTACTGAGCCATGCTGGCTGGGCAACAGTAATTCTTTATGTCTACCCTCTCTCGGTACCATTGGGGCGATACTGCCTTGCCTTCAAGTTCTGGGGAGCTGAGACCCTCCATCCAATATTTGGGGCCCACCTTCCCTTTTTGTCCCCTGTCCACCACTTTTTCCAGGCTGGCCGACCTGGAGTTGTGGTTCAGCTCCTGGGAGATGTCATCCACCATGTCGTTCTCGGAAGCCTCATGAGCCATGGCTTTGCAGAGCTTGCAGGCCACCAGGGCCTTGGCCATGGCCTCCTCGCCATGCTGCCAGAAGAACAAGGCCATTTTCTGCCGCTTCATCAGGACGGCCCACACCATCAGCTCGTGGAAAGGGAAAGGAAAGTGATTGATCTCAGGGTCATCCAGGTCAATGTCTACCTCTTCTTCACGTTTCTTGGTTGTCTTTCTTCCTCTCCTCAAGGGAACATCATCCTGTGATTTTAGGGGGGAGAGGAAGAGAAACCAGAGGTGGAGTTAGAAATGAATCAATGAAATTTAGTCAACAGTGATTGTACATTTACTACTAGTCCAGCTCTGACAGATCCATAAGTGAACTACTGGCACACCTCATTTGATTGTGTTTCACTTTACTGCACTTCCCAGATGTCGCATTTTCTACACATGGAAGACAAAAGGTCACGACTTGCTTTATGGCGCTGGTCTGGGACCGAACTCACAATATGTCTGAGGTATGCCTGTATCCTCTCCTAGCTCCAATCCTAAAAGAATGCTCAAGCTCATAATTTAAAATGAGTTAGAAGAGCATAAGCACAGTCCTATGGGAACATACCATTGTTATACTTTAAATTAGAAAAAGTATGTTCAATGGGCCATTTTCTTTTTCTTTTTACATTTGTCCTTTCCCCCTATGCAGGTAGGGTTATTTGTTATGTGTGATAGACAGCCCTACCCTTTTCTCTCAAAGGACAAGGACTTGCATTCGCATACAACAATAACCACATTAACAAAAGATGGGAGGAAGGCAGCCTCTCTGGAGTTTCTGCATACCTCATTAGGTGCATTGGTGAAGTATTTCTGGCCTTTGGATTTGTTGCCATTTGTAAACACCCATGAATAGATTTTGCTTACTGGACTATATATGCTTCCTTGGTTTTCAAGTTCGTATTTCAAATAGGATTTGTTTCCTTGTTTGCAATGCTAATACAACCTTCATGGTGAAATTTTCAAAGCTACTGTGATCTGTCCCCTCACCACTGGGAAAAATGTCACTTCCTTATTGCAGAATTATGTACTTATCCTCACCACCGAAATGAAGTTATTATATATTTAAAATGTGTAACAAAGATTAAATAATTGACACTAATAATTTGAGCAAACACTTACCTCCATTCCCAGTAGTTTCAAGGCTTTGGGCTGTTAAAAAATTAATGCACAAAGTTAGATATTTTTCTATAGATATAAGAAAAGGATCCTACTTCATCTCAAACAGGTAATGAAATAATTCCATTTACCATGTAGCATTTATTTCAATAAATAAAGCATTACAAAGGGAACCCAATTATAGAAATTCTTAGAGAATTAGGGATTTAGTGAGTTTGGGGGAATCACAGAAAATTAGGAAACTGGACAGGTATAACGTGATTGCTCAGGGGTAGAGCCTGCAGGTTTATCAACCCTTTTGTGGAACAAAATTTCTTCCTTCTTCCTAAAACTGTTCTGCTCATCATCTCCACAACTTTAAGCACTTATGTGCATGATGAAACATTCAATCAAAGTAGAAGATGTTTCTCAAACCTCTGAATGACCTCTATTCCCAAAAGACTCGAGATATTATTCATAAATATATGTGTAGATGCTTCCTGCTGGCTATCTCTCTATGCTGCTGTCCAGTAGATCAAGGGTGAGTGGGGCCAGAGGCATGTGTCGATGGCACTTACTGTAATGTCATGGAAAGTGTCAGCACAAACAGAAGCATCATTGCTCATGCTGGGATGTGCAAAACAGGCACAGACCAAGACGGACAGAGAAGGCAACTCAGCAAAGTATAGAACTTGATTTATATTTAACAAGGGGAGATACAAAATTACATTTCAGGGGTCAGGAATTCCAATTCCACATTGCGAGTATTATAGAATGGTCGGGTACTATCTTGAAAGTTATTTAAGTAAATAGTAAGGTTATAGCACTTAGGTTCCTCCAAATTTTATTTGACCATTCAAGTCAGAATAGCTTGAACCTCACCTCTCCCTCTTTCTCTTTTAGCTTTCATAATGACCACCAGTTTAAAATTTGTGATTTTAAAAAATTTATACTTTTTGGTGCTTTCAAAGGTCTCTTCTAGCACCACAAAATACTAGAATAATTAGATGGTAAACTTTGGTAAAAGTAAAAAAATTATGCCTGCCACCAGCTATAGCAGCAGTTCTCAAAATGTTGTCTTAGGACCATATGTCCCTTTTTTGGGGGTGGAGGTCTTTCCTGAGAGAACTTCCAGGGGCCTGTGAAGTGAAAGCTTTTTTCATAATAACACCAAGATGCATTAATATTTGCACTGATGGTACAAAAGCAATGGTTGGTAAAATTGCTGGGTACCTTGGCAAGAATGAAGACAGTGGTACCAGGCTTTACTAGTTGTCATTAGAGTTCACTGTTATACACTTGAAGTTTAAAACAAAACAAAACAAAACAAAACAAAACAGTCACACTTAAGAATGTGCTTGATGAGCCCTGGCTGGTATGGCTCATTGGACAGAGATTAGGCCTTTGCACCGAAGGGCTGCCAATTTGATTTTCAGTCAAGGGCAGAACCTGGGTTACAGTGAGGCAACCCATCGATGTGTCTCTCTCACATCAATGTTTCTCTCTCTCTCTTTTTCTCCCTCCCTTCCACTTTCTCTAAAAGTAAATGGAACAAAACAACAACAAAAGAATGTGCTTGATGAGGCCTAAAATATTAACGTGTATTAAATTTCTACTTTTGCTGAAACCGGTTTGGCTCAGTGGATAGAGTGTCAGCCTGTGGACTGAAAGGTCCCAGGTTCAATTCCGGTCAAGGGCATGTACAATACATTGGTTGCAGGCACATCCCCGGAAGGGGGTGTGCAGGAGCAGCTGATCGATGTCTCTCTCTCATCGATGTTTCTAACTCTCTATCCCTCTCTCTTCCTCTCTGTAAAAAATCAATAAAATATATTTTAAAAAAATTTCTACTCTTGTTAGTAAAAAAAAAAAAGCCTTTTTACTCTTCTGAGGGATGAAGTGGGAAGCCGCATAAAGCACTGCTGCTACATATTAAACAAGGACGGGGGTCCTGAGGGACAACACTCAGGGGGCTGTTGGGACTGAATTATGGCCACTTTGCCTCATGAACTATCTGGGTGAAGAAATGACTGGTAAACAACTAGGGTTACTTAGACCTGGATGGCAGACATTTTGGAAATGAGCTAAGAAGGACTGTCATTTCAAGGAAAACAACTTGCAGGATTGGTTGTCAATGACAAAATTCAAACTTTCAAGAAGATAATAGAATCTTGGAAAACCCACCCCATGACCTTGACAATTTTTCAGTACTTAAAGACTTTTCTGATGAGATTGAAGGTGAATGCAAGTTTTTAAATTGTATAATAAAATGTGTCAATGTTTAGAAGATCAGAATATAACTCAACAAACCAATATTTTACAGGGACCAATCTACGATGTTAAAAGATCTATACAAACTGCAGTTTGGATTTTAATAGGAAAAGGTCATTGACATGGTTTGAGATTTCATGTTGCAAACTAATCTTCAAGAAGTTGCCACTTGAATTTTAATGTACTATCAAAAAAGAATAGCTATAATTATCACTAAAGATTACTTCTTCCTTTTTTTGATACACTCATATTTGTGTGAGGGCAGATTTTCTTAATATATTTTAACCAAAACAATGTCTTGTAACAGACTGTCTGCAGAAGTAGATATGAGAATCTAACCATCTTCTGTTAAGTCAAACATTACAGAATTTTGGAAAAATGTAAAACTATGCTACTCATCACTAATTTTTGTTTGTAAAAACATAGTTGTTTTTCATAAACATGCTATGATGGACTTCTTATGGTCACCTTAAGATGAATTAATAAATATTTTTAATGTTTCAACTTTAATTTCCAGCATGATAAATATTGATAGAACCCAAAGTAGATTAAAAAAAAAAAGCTTTTGGGAGTCCTCAATAATTTTTAAGGGTATAAATAGATCCATCTAGACCAAAAACCTTGAAAATTGCTGTGGTAGGTAATAAGATTCATTTGAATTTCACTGCTATTCTCTGATCATTAAGGCTCACTCTCAGTGTGTTTCTGATTTGAATTGGACGTAGGGAAAGAATACATCCCTCTCCCCCTCTTTTGTTAAAAACAGATTTGATGGTGGAGGGAAGAAGAGGTGGGGCAATTGCCTTCATCTCATCACCCACTAAGAGAGAAGGAAGCCACACCCTGAATTGGTAGCACCCTAGTCCACCCAGGAGTCCAGGAACCCGAATTTGCCCACAAGCCTCACCCTCTTGGGGCCGAAGAGATTGTGGTAGAGTGTCCGGAAGCGCTTGCGCGTGTAGTTGCAGCGATAAGCTCCGCCCATCAGGTATTCTATCACCAGGCCAATGTCGATCAGGCTGATTCTGTAGTCAGGAGGCAGGTTCCCCTGTTAGGGAAGAAGTAAAAACAAAAAGAGCCAAAGGACAGCGTGATTTACTAGGGATTCGATCCCATGTGTTCTGTAACTATTTTAGAGTAAAAAAAAAAATTAATTAAAAAAGAAACATATGAATGAATGATTATGCTGGTTAATTAATTCACCTTAAAATAGATCCAACCGAAACCTGGATATTCTCGCTTGGAAAGAAGACATAAGTTAAATAAGAAGATGCAGTAATCGTTGGCAAGAACAGAAAATCAAAATATTTATTCAAGTCTTCAGCTGAGGAGAAAAACACACCAGCGTAGCAGAAAGAAACACAAGGCTAGACATGGCAAATGCTACGGCTCCCAGACACTAGGAACTAGGTTCCCTAGCTGTCCCCAGCCCCCTGGCTGTTCTGCCTCAGACCCAGGCCTGCTACTGCCCTCTTGCTGATCCTTTAGTTCTTCACATTCACTAAATGAAGACTCCTTCCAGAGGGATTGGTATTGCCAGGGCTGCGTCAGGTGGGGAATGCTTAGAGCTCAGATATCCTTTCATACCAAACTTCTATTAATAATGAACATTTGGCTCCTTTCATAAAGGATGGATGTCAGGTGAAGTCATTTATGAACATCCCTTGTGTTGAAAGAGGAAGCAGGGAGAAAAAACCTTGTGTTATTCATTGTTTTATTTATCTTTGTATTCCTAGTGCCTTTCAAAGTGCCTGATGTGTGGTTGGCATTCGAAATGCTTTTTGTTGAAAATATGAATGAGTAAAACAGTGAAATTAACTGATGTGGTGGTGGGATCAATCTCTCTGTGTGTGGTTTTATTTTTGTTTGTTTGTTTGTTTTTTGCTTTTTTTTTTTTTTTTTTTTTTTTTTTTTTGCATTATGTTCTCAGTAAGGGAACTTCCTAGCCACAGTGTGTGGGTCACCCCTGTTTGGAAAAGCCTCAGTTTAATGTAGAAATTTGACTTGAAATATGCATATTGGTGTATCTGTATGGGCCGGAATGAATGGATAGCAATTGATGCACCAGCCCAAGTGTATGAATCCCAGTGCTGCTCTTTCAACTACCTTGCTGGACTTAGTTCTCAGCCCTGCCCACTGCATTCTACCTCTCCCTTACCTTGGGATACAGGCAGGCTTGGGGACCTAATTTGAAATGGCTGAGCAAAGTGGGACTGTGTGAAGGGCATTCTAGATGAGATGGAAGCACTTTAAGGCACACAACCCCAGACTGTGGCTCTTCAGAACCCATTTCTTTGCTGAATATTCCCTTCACAGAAATAGTCTCTCCGCTCCTCCTCCTCTTTCTCAGAATTTTGGGATCTCTTTTGTTTAAAGATGATCCCATCACTCTAAATTATCAAATCAAGCTGTCCTCAGGCTGCCAAGAAAAATTGTCTGGCTTCTTTATGCAGAGTATGGTAAAAACATAACAAAGGGAACTTAGAGAAGATTTTATTTGAAGGTCACAACTTTTCAGGTATTGCCCTTTCCATAAACACTAGCTGATTTAAAAAATATTACCCATGTGACCATTTTTCTCCATTTTTGGGATAGGTGAACAAGGCTGTAGTGTCTGAATGGTCTGGCTCTACCAGATGGTTAAGCAACTCTGTTATGTTAAAGGTGGAAGCGCCAGAGCCTGGCCACACCGGAATCAGCCTCCTCCCCAATGCATCCGGCTCCATTAAGGATGCCCTCCAGAGGATGCCCACCCTGTCTGTTATTTCCTTGTGCGGCAGGCAGGGTCAGGGGCACTGGCTGTGACTCAACTGCCCTGGGCTTCTGTCTAGAAGACAGACCAGCCACTTTCCCGCAACGCCTCCGTTTTCTCAGTAAAAAGAGTCGAACTTCCTGGCCTCTGTGGTCTGCAATGTACCAGGCTTAAAAAAAAAAAAAAATCCCCAAAGGATTTATTATGATCTTATTGAAAGGCAGCTATAGCCAAGTCTAGGAATCTGTGCCTATTTTCAACCTTGTCACCATTTTCTAAATTTAAAATGTGGGTAATATCGAGTCTAACACCTATAAATTTTCATTTGAGAAATCCATATGGAAGCATTAGTTTGAATTCTAAGAACAAGAATCAATATTGTCTGAAGACCAGTGTTGAATGGCAATATTTATACATGTCACGTGACCGGAAGAGTGGGTGTTGTCAGGAAGAATAGTGATAATAGTAAAGTAAAATAAAATTTTAGAGGGGCAAAAAAAACATTTTTTGGGTAAATGATTTCATTCATAAAGAGACTATAGGTTTATAGACTACCAAAGAAGGTGCTGTAATCTTCTTCTTTTCTTTAGAAACAACTTCTCATATAAAGCTTAATTATTTTAGAGTGATGTATAGTCTGGTCTAAAGGATTCCAGGATTGTCCTAGGTCCTCCCCAGCTTTTAGTGACAGCCAGAAAGAAAATGGCCTGCATTCTGTTTGACCACAAGGCGGCGATGTTTACCTAACGGAAAACAATGCAGATTCCTCCTCAGCATTTGCCTGCCTGCTCTGTTTTGTGTACTAACTGATGTAAATGAATACAGAGCAGATTGAGGATTTGGGGATAAGGAGAGAGTCAGATGCTTTTGTTGAAGTGATATCTGGAGGAGGGAAAGCTTACTTTGCCCAGTAATGCGTTTGAACGCAGTCTGCCAGACTGCAGCTGTTCCAGAGGCTTATGGAAGCAGAGAAATTAAGGGAAATTAGTTCCACAATTTTTACTGGGAAGAGAGGAAACATTTTGGGGAAGAAGAAATAGATTTAATAAAATGAATAAAACTGCCATAACTGTGTCCTGGGTGAACTCTGAAGGGGATGCAGCATTGGTGCCAGTCTGGGCTGATGGCCTTGGACACCTGTGACCTGCAGGTGTCACAGATGTAGCAAGATGCCCGCACCGTGGAAACAGCACTGGGATGGACTGTGGGCTTGCCTTTCTCTGTACCTCAGTTTACACTTTGAAAACATGCAGTTTGGACCCAGTTACTCTTAAAGTCTGACCACCAGCTGGCAGGCTGCTCTTATTTCTATGCTGCCAGGTCACTGGACAAAGACTCTTGTCCAAGCTTCCATGTTGATGTAGTTTCCATGAATCCCCTGAGGTTTGGATAGTGGAGCTGAGAGGCTTAGAGACAAGGGGTGGTAAAGGGGCCGACAGGGGTGGGGTTGTGCTCATCATATTCACCTCCGCTGGAAAAAAGCAGAAAAAGTGAACGCCACCTCACATGCCACAGATAATGTCCAAAAGCCTTTGGGAGGAGTCTTCCTTTGCTCGGGTCCTTTTCAGATAGGAGTCCACAATGACAATGGTGTGATACCCTTCCGTCTGCCTGCTGTTTCTGGTCTCTACCCTTCCCTTTTTGGCAATGGCTTTGGTACGGGTAAAGCCTGAACACCTATTCCCCATTTCATGCCCGAACAACACATGGCAAGCCACGTGATTTAAGTAACCCGACCTACAGAATAAAACGGAGAAGCTTGGGTCTGTGGATAGGTACAACTTCATAACTGCTACTCTGAAGCTGAGTTTTAACCCATGCCATCCTGAAGGATAGCTGTCAATTAAAAGAATAGTTTACATTCACGTAGATCTGCTCTCCTAAATGCACTCTATTTTTCGGATGTCAGTTTATGACATCATAACACATTTCAACTGTTTGGGAAATATCTTTTTTTTTTCTTTTCTTGAAACTTACAAGCCTTCAAAACAAGACCGTTTCCTTCTGATGCATGGAAGGTGCTAATGATAGCTGGTTGTCAGGTTTACAAAGGGAGAATGTGGAAATGACTACTCTGGTGACAGTTTATGGAAAAAGAGGGTGTTCCCCCAATGTTTGACATGGTAATAGACTGGGCAACCAATCTTATAAAAAGTAAGAATGCTTTTGTAAATTTGTGTGGATTAGAAAATGCCCTTTCTTTACCCAAACTGTGTCTGAAAAACTTTTTTTTCCCTTCATTCTGTAAAGCTCTGAGTCTTGGTTCCCCATGTGAATGAATTTAAAACTATCCTAATTTCACACTACTTCTCTATAAAACAAATATCATATTCTTTTGGTGGGGAGGGATAGTAAAGGTATTCTGAAGTGTTAGCACATTTAATTGAAGAAAGAAAAACTACTACTTTAAAACATATAGAGGCACAAAATGAGCAGGCAAATAGCTACTAAGATGACAAGTTAGAATTCACGAAAAAGCAGACAGACTGGGCCACTCTGGCTTAATAAGAGAGCATTGCAACATCCAATGGATTTATGCATGAAAACAGTCCCGGGAATTGGGCTGACTTAAATAATTTTAAATTTCTGATAGATGCTGAATAGCAACTCTTCGTCTCATTGCTCCTAGATTGTTCCCTTGGTATGAATAAGTCGAGATATTGAAACTAGCATAGGAGTAATTTTCCACATTCGGTTCTGTTGATTTCAAAGGATAGTTGGACTTGCAGATGTCATGCTGGTTAACTTATGATGGTCTAATAATTCCTAAATGCATCCCCTGGGTTTGTCAGAGTTACTTACATTTCATTTACAGACATATTATCAAACACTATGTTTAAGGTCCAGAACGGTGTTCATTCTTATCAACAGCATTTTGTATCAGGATTTATCACTTACTGATTAAATTTTTTTTTGCCACAGATTAAATCAATTAATACATACACAAAGTCCTATAATCATAAAGCACAAAGTACATACTAATTATTATGGCCCTTAATTTTGACAATTGCTTAAACTGCCCAAGATTTTCTTAATATTTTAAATCTTGTTTTTGTAGACTTTGAGAATCTTACTGGCCAAAATTACTAGAAGCCTTCTGGAACCACCTGAGGAAATGTGAACTGCCTGAGGAAAATATTAATTTCTTGATAATTCAATTCTTAAAAACACACAAACGCCCTGGCTGGTGTGGCTCAGTTGGCTGGGCATTGTCCTGTGCATTGAAAGGTTACCTGCTGGATTCCTGGTCAGGGCACATGTCCCTCTTTCAGGCTCGATTCCCAGTAGGGGGCGTGCAGGAGGCAGCCAATCAATGTTTCTCTCTTACATCAACGTTCCCCTTTCTCTCTCCCTTGCTTTCTCTAAATAAATAAATAAATAAATAAATAAATAAATAAATAAATAAAATAAACAAACCCCCATAATTCTGTTCCCTTCTTCCATGTAACATAAAATGGAGACAAGTCCAACTTCTTTGGCTCCATTGTATATTCTGTCCTGCTTTCCAATAGTCAGGTGCTCATCTTTATCACAGAAATAAGTGAAGGATGCATTTCCTGCTCCTATTTCGTCCCCAAAAAAGAAGCTAACCATAGGCTTTCTGTTTCTCCCCACCTATTGGCAATCTTTAGTCCCTGGTAAAAAGATAAATTGATCCTAAGCCAGTACTATCCTGGATGATATGGTATCATTTTTTTCCAGTTACTAAGTAAATGAATTCTTAGGTAAGTATATCCTTGCTCTTGCTCTTGTACACAGTATTTTTAAGAACCCTACCTTAAAAATACTCCACATGCTTTTTAATACAAATGATGTGAGCAAATGCAAGAGGCAGCTACTGGGATTTCAGAAAAGAAAAAATGATATTGCGAAGCAGAGTCCGGCAAGGCAGAAAACCTAATAGGAGGGATTTTGATCGTTTGTACTCAGCAAGATCTAACTACAAAGTCCTTTTGAAAATCATGTGGGACATTGAGAACCTGCATGATGGAGGTGGATGAGTGACTTTGTTTGAAGGTTTGGATTGGCCGATGGCTGGGACTGAGGCACAAAGGCACAGCTGTCCCCTCAGCGAGCCTCACAATTCCTTCAGGGACAAAGGGCAGCTTACGGTGAGAGGATAATATCTTGTTATTTTAGAAAAATCTCAAGACATTTTATTGAATATGAGCAACAAATATATTCTATGTACACAATCTCCTGAGACATCCCCTCCTTTTAGTTTCTAGGCAATTTTTATCCACAAAATTTTAAACAAAATTGGAAGACCGGAGGGAAAGAGAAATAGGCTTGTTGAGGGCAGGTATGCTATGGCTTGAAGTGGGGCGGACCAAAGAAAGATGTGATGGTGATAAAATGTTTGCTGGGTTGGGTGTACAGACTGCACAGCATGTTTCCCTTGATTTGAAAGAACAACAGGCTTCACTCACTCACATGGATCAGAAAGGTCCACCTGGTTAATGAGGACATTATAAGCAGACCCAGGGCCTTTGCTTGACCTTTTGAAGGAAAATGAAAAAGCGCCTACAGGACACCTCAGGGTCAGTTCTAGCCATCAAAATTCCTGACATGAAGGAATTGGACTCTATTCTTGACCTTACTTTGTAACTTTCTCTGAGTATGCCTTACCGACTTTGGTGAAGAATTGCTACAGATTTGTAGGGGGGTGCACATGTATGCATGTGTTTGTGTGTGTGTATGTGTATGGGGAGGAGAAAGTGCCACTATCTATTTTGTTCATTACAGTTAAAGCATCACTTCCTGGGAATGTTTTCAAAGGCTCAGGTTAAAGCTATCTCCAAAAGAGATTGTATAGGGACAAAGAACAAGCACTCGGGGAAGTTTAAAAATAACCTTCCTGTGCCTCCCTCCTCTCATCTATACATGGGACTACTGCTATAACAAAATAAAAAAAAATGATTCTACTTTGAAGAATTGTGGTCAAGATGAAACGAGTGAAGGTGCCTAGAAAGCGTAGATTGGTGTCACACGCTTAGTCATCACTAACTATCGGGTATTATCGTTTTATCATTAGTCAAAAGCTCCAAGTTCTAATTCTAGTTCTTCACTGTTCACTTAATTCAGCTCTCACCTCTTTGCATTTCAGCTTCCTCATCTGTAAAATGGGATTAAATCTATTTGATCTAAACCTACTGGGTTTTCCCCCTCATCAAAATCTTAGATGATGAATGGGAAAAACTATACTGGGGAAAAAATAAAGTGTTAGAAGAATGGCATACAAATATTTGTTTTAGACTCTGGCTCTGAGCCTTGGTATTATCCTACACCCTGCATAATGCTAAACGTGACAGTGATATATGACATCAGGAGCTAGTTCATGAAGATACCTCTTATAATAGGTTGGACAGCATGGAAACAAACTCCCCACACAGAGAGGGGCATATGGAGAAATACAGGTAATGGCATAAATCCACCTGGCATGGGGGAAAAGCCTAAAGCTCTACTATCCAAAGCACTATGTTCAACAGAAGCATCTAACACCACGGAGATCGAAGATAAACCGCAGCTGCATAGTAAGCAGAGATGTCAGAGTTAAAAGACACACACACACACACACACACACACACACACACATACACACGCACACACACGCTGTGCCCTGCAATAAGGGGCATCTGGCAGGGTCAGGGGTGCTCTGGCAGCTCATGCAATGCAAAACAGAGGCGCTTTGTAATCACAGGAAGCAGTCAAGACAGGGCCTCCGACCTGCAGTCGAGAGGGTTCTTACCTTTTTGACATCCCTGACCAAGTGGTACAATGTGTTTGAGGGCCCATGTCTCTGAAAACAATAAAGAAGAATCAAATGGTTTTGCTAGCCGGGCTCTTACTGCGAGGCAAGGAGGATCTGGAAGGAAGGGGCTGGCTGGTGAGGGATAGTCGATCAAATGAATCTTGTTGTAGTTGCTCAGTTGTGCCTGTCTTTTCTAAAGAAACGCACTGGCAGATTTTGGACTTGTGGTTCCTCAAGAAAACAGCATTTGAGGCTCTGGGTTCAAGCTCTATAAAGGAAGCCATCACCGCTGTAGACAGTTCAGCCAAGACATCGCTTAAGGGGCTAGTTTTGCAGCAGGGGGAGGCCAAGGAGCCAGTTGACCGCATTGGAAATACACTTCGGCACATTGCCAATCACATCTTCCTTATTACCCACATTGAATGAGAAATTGTGTAAGGCAGGGGTTTATAAATCTTGTTTTTGCTAAACGTGACAGTGATATATGACATCAGGAGCTAGTTCATGAAGATACCTCTTATAATAGGTTGGACAGCATGGAAATACCCAGGTGGTCAATATTTTAGAATATGTGGGGCATAGGGTCTTCATGGCAGCTGCTCAACTCTGCCGTGGTGTGGAAGCAGTCGGAGATGGTACCTAAACAAAGGACTTGGCCTATGTTTCAACATAACTTTATTTGTGGACACAAAAAGAGAGTAAAATTTCATATAATTTGGATTTCACAAAATATCATTCTTCTTTTGATATTTTCAAACACTGAAAATGTAAAAAACAACAACAACAACAAACAAACCAAAAACCAAAAACAAAACAACCTTCTCAGCTCCCAGGCCATACAAAATTAGGCAGCAAGCTGGATTTGGCTATTGGGTGGTAGTTTGCTAAAATCTGGTCTAAAGAAAAGGCCACAGGAATTCTGGGAAAAGAGGCTTGGGAAAAAGATGTATGTTTGCTTAAGGCAGGGGTGGGAAATGTAGGCCTGTGGGCTGTGGGCTGCATTGAAACCCCCGAATCACTTGGTCTGGCCTGCCACGGCAACCACAGCTGGATTCGAAATTCAATGAATCTAGAAGTTTTTTTTTTTTTTTTTTTTTGTGACGTAAATTTATATTAAGTGAATTAGATTAAGCAAACAATGTTATACATATCCAAATGGCTCCTGGCAGAAAAAAGGTTTCCCACCCCTGGCTTAAGGAAGAATAAAATGAAATGGTTTGCCACCCCATTGTCTTTCAGGAATAGGCATGCTGGATAAAATATGGGATGCCTAGTTAAATTTGAATTCCAGATAGACAGTGAATTATTTCTAACATAAGTATGCCCCATGCAATATTTGGGACCCAATTATACTAAAAACTAGAGGCCTGATGTATGAAATTTGTGCATGGGATGGGGTGGGAGAGTGTTCCCCAGCCCAGCCTGCACCCTCTCCAGTCTGGGACCACTCAAAGGATGTCTGACTGCCCGTTTAAGCCAGATCCCACTGTAGGATAGGGCCTAAATGGGCAGTCGGACATCCCTCTCACAATCCAGGACTGCTGGCTCCCAACTGCTTGCCTGCCTGCCTGCCTGCCTGATTGCCCCTAACCACTTCTGCCTGACAGGTCAACACCTCCTAACCACTCCCCTGCCAGTCTGATCAAGACCTAATTGCTCCCCTGCCAATTGTCCCTAACTACCCTCTCCTGCTGATCTGATAATCCATACCTTCCCTCTCCTGCAGGCCTGGAATTCCCCAACTGCCCTCCCCTACAGGTCTAGCTTCCCCTCAACTGCCCTCTCCTGTAAGCCTGGTGCCCCCCGAAAAACTCTCCCCTCCAGGCCTGGTCCCCCCCACTACCCTCCCCTGCTGGCCATCTTGTGTCCACATTGGGGCAGCCATCTTTGACCACATGGGGGTGGCCATCTTGGGTATTGGAGTGATGGTCAATTTGCATATTACTCTTTTATTAGATAGGATTATTTGTTGTTTGTCTGAAATTTAAATTCAACTGGGCATCCTGTATTTTTATTTGCTAAATCTGATGACCCTATGAAATTATCTCAGACAATGATGGCAAACCCTTAAGCATGGCTGAAACACTTTCAAGGACTGAGACTATCCCCCTCTATGGCCTCAATGACCTACCTGCCCACTCAAGCAGACATGCTCATCAGAGCTTGTTCCACTGAAGGATGCAGGACCATAGGGATTAAACATGCAGACTGTGGAGTCAGAATGCCTGGCTCCACTTGGCTCTGCTGCTGACCAGCTGCAACCACAGGCAAGCTACTTCACTATGACTCAGTATTACCATTTCTAAAATGGGGCTAGCATTTTGTGAAATTTACCTATGAAGCCACCTGGTCCTGAGCTTTTCTCTTTGTTGAGAGGTTTTTTGTTTGTTTGTTTTTGTTTTTGTTTGTTTGTTGTTGTTTTTTTAAATTACCAAGCCAATCTCCTTACTTGTTATTAATCTGTTCACATTTTAAAGTTCTTTATGATTCAGAGTTGGTTGATTGCATATTTCTGTGTCCATTTCCTGTGTAGCTAATCGTTGGTCTTTTTGTAGGGATGAAAGGTTGGGCCTCCTATGTCACCATCTTGGTTTATTGTTCTTACTAAAAAGTCTCAGTATGCTGAACAAAAAAATAAAATAAAAAATAAAAGAATTTACGGGGAAAAGAGAAACCTGGAAACACTCTGCTAAACTCATTTCTACTTCCATCAGTGGGAGTAAGATAGAGCCATAATGGCATCATCTAACACGTAAAGCTGGCTGGGAATAGGTCAATAATTTTAATCTCATTAGTACTGTGGGTGATGAAGTAGAGAGTGCTATGACAGATGAAGGGAAGAATAATCTCTAAGAAACTTTAGGTCAGTACTAGCTTCTTTCTTCATCTAGGAGTTTTGTGACCCTGAATAAATCAATCCACTGTTTGGCCTCTGTTTTCTCATCTGTAAAATGGGGGAGTGCAATTTCTACATTTTAAACATCACTGGATTTTAGTGAGTATCAGCTCAGGGCCAATGTACTTAATTCATTGAATACTCTCAAAAGCTTCACAAATAGTAATTTTTTTTTTATGATTGCTCCTCGATATCCCTAGTGAATGAATTAAAAAATCACTATAAAACAACAATCATTTTTGGGTAACCCTAAGCAAGAGGTTTTTATATTTTATTCCTAGCTCTGAGGATAACAAGATGGTGCTGGATAATTAATTTTCCTCCTTTGATGGTTGGAGTGAAATCAATTCTTCTTTGCTGATTGCCTCAAACAGCCTCTGGCTTACGAATAAACTATGTTCTAATTTCGTTGTCCTGGTGATTTGGTGTAAGAATCTGAGAATGTTACCTTTTGGTGATCGCATAACTTTCTGCCTTAGGTGCTGACAACTGAGCAGTTAAAACAAGTGGAGTCTTGGTGACTCGGTGTTGCTTGTCTACACCGGTGAGAGGGAGCTTTTGTGAAGAATGATCCATGCATTTGGAGGGCAGGGAGGAGACTCACAGGCATGTAGGGGAGCAGCAGAAGGCAAAACAAAACAAAACAACAACAAAAAATAAATGAAGAGAAAGTAAAAAGCCTTAGCTTGGTCCTACCGTATTGTACAATTCCTCTAGTCTGGAGATGGTGAGAAAACGGTGCATGCTTACTCCATTTTCTATGAGTAATTTCACAAAATCCACTCTGTCCAGAACTAGGGCATCCAACATGGCTTGTTCCAAAGACCCGACCTGCAAATCAAGTCACTGAGTTAGCCTGCCCCAGGCTCTGCAGATGCAATTCTTCAGCATTCACCTGAACCGCCAAGACATGGATGCCTCTGACATCTGGCAAACCTTCAGCACATCCAAGAGCGTGCTAGCAAGACTGCTTCCAACTCTGCTTTTGATACAGTGAAAATCTCTCCTGTGTTTTGGGTCTTGTCTTTGAAAATAGAATTCAAAGATTTCTAGTTGCTAAAGATATAATCTTGAATCTCAAAATCGGCCCCCCTCGCTCTTTCTCTCTCACTCTCCTGAGAAGGTACAAGGGTTTATAAGGCTTTTCCTCTCCTAACTCTCTGACCAAACTTCCGCAGCATCATTGAAATGCTAAAGTGGGTACTTTGCTGTCTTTGTTTTCATCTTTCTTGGGCTCTGAATTGGACCCTGGCTGGCTTGAGAAGAGGGACCCTTGTAAGCAGACTAGAAAGTAGGTTGTTATATTATTTATTTATTTATTTATTTATTTATTTATTTATTTATTTTTTTAGTTAAGTGATGCCACTTTGCCTGCGTCTCAGAGACACAACAACTGTTTAGGTCCTTTGGCTTGTCTGCTAAGGTTTTATTTAATTCCTTTTACAAAACTTTCTGTGTCCAGATTCCTTGACACATTTTTACACAGCAGGAATGCTCTTGTGGCACTGAACCAAGACAGGGATTCCATCCTAGGCAGGCGCTCTGGGGGAAGGAAGGGTTAAAAAAGACCTGTACAGTAATTCCAGGCACAGAAGTCTACCGGTTACCTCCTGGGGAAACATGCACACGTCACCCAATGGCCAATTTCCCAAGTTTTTGTTGTTGGTAGTGTCGATGAGGGAAATAAACCAGGAACAGTTATGTAAAGCGCTGGCTCCTTCTGTGCTGCATTTGGGAAGAGGGAGGGCCTGTGCTCAGCCACTGGGACCAGATGGCACCTGCCTGGGGAAGCTTGCTAATTCTGCATCCTGAGGTGCTGCCCAGCCATGCACCAGCACAGGTTGCCACTACTTGGAAGCAGCAACCTCAAAGACAACCAGAATCAAATTGCTAACCACAATTGTTAATTCCTTCCTTTATTGTAATGGATGCAATTTTGTATTCTGTATATATTTTTAGACATTTAAAAGGAATAGCATCATTTGCTGCTGAAAGTTGCTATCAAAGGCCGCTCAGAGATGGAAATGGTGGGAACCTTTTGAGTTGTGCATAGCCACATGTTCCACCAGGTGGCGGTGATTTCCTAGCTCATTTACATCCTAAAGAAAAGGCAGCAGTTTTCCCCAGTTGCTCTCAGAGGCTCTTTAAGGAAGTACCCTTGCCCAAGCAAGTGGTGGGCTTTTCAGGGGCAACAGCGTATACTCTACCGGCCACTGTTGCCCATAAATAAAGATCTGGCTGCGAGCGATGTCAACTCGGTTCCAGGCTAAGGCCAAGCTCAGTTGGTCAGGGGCAGAGGCATTGGCTCCTGTAGACAAGTAAAGGGAAAGAGAGACAAAGAGAAAATAACGATGAGTTTATTATACTAAGAGGAACCACGCCATTACTCTTCCATCAATACCCCTCTTCTGAAAAGCAGACTCAGTTGTACAGTAGGGTTTCTCCAAACTCGGCACTATTGACATTTCATTGTGGGCGCTATCCTGTAGTTGTGGAATAGTTAGCAGCATCTTTGGACTCAACCCATTAGATGCCAACAGCACCTCTTTGTAAAGTCATGACCATCAAAAATGTCTCTATGCATTGCTAAATTCCCCCAGGAGTGAAGGGAGACAAATCAGCCATTAAGAATCACTGCTGGTAGAAAGGCAGATTAATATTCAGAGTGATGGCTAAGAGGAAAAAAGGAAGATGCTACCTTGAGGGGCTTGGTAGAGAAGAGAAGGGTCTTCTTAGGTGACAGGGATGCAGGCTGTGCTTATAGCAGAAGTGAAAGGACCACCGGAGAGGGAGGCATTGGGAAATGTGAAAGAAGAAAGCAAACACATGATGGATGAGACCCTGGAGAATGGAGGCCAAGAAGAGAGGTCTTCAGAGTAAAGAAGAAAAACAAAGAGGCTGAGCGAAGAAAATAATATTCTTAAGTGGAAGAGGATGATAGAAAAAAACTTGGATGAACAAAAGCAGTATCAGAGAAGTAAGAGAGGTACCACCTGCTAAGACTGAGAAGGAATGGCAGCTTGAAGAGAATAGAGGAACATGGAGGCTTAAGGAATGAGGTAGTTTCAGAGCAGAGTTGGGGCCCACTTGAGAGAAGACATCCCAAACATGTCACGGCACCAATGAATATGCATTGCTGGGAATATTTATTTAGGGACTTGAGCATCAGTGTTGGGGAGCATTCATTTTTTAAGTCTGAGGGTTAAACTAGAGCCCATATATAACTTTATAAAATGGTCCTGAAATTTTATTTATTTAAAATATTTTGATTCTTTTTAGAGAGATAGGAAGGGAGTGGGAAAGAGAGAGTGAATATTCACCAGCTGCCTCCTGCATACCCTCTACTGAGGATGAGCCTGAAACCTTATTATATGCCCTGACTAAAATCAAAACCAGCAACCTTTCGGTGCATGGGACATGTTGAACCATTGGTCAAGGCAGAGAACAATTTTTTAATTCCCTGAGGATCATTAAATACTTCAATGGGTTGTAGAGAGCTGTGGACTCTCTTTGGGAGCTTCCACATAGAAAATGTTAGGTGCGGGGGCCTGACACGGCCGGAGATCTCCCTTCTCCGTGGCCAGCATGGAAAGAGAGATGAAATTGGTTCTTCGTAGAGGCAGCCAGGGATTGAGAAATAAAAAAATGAAGAGTCGATGCAGAAATAGATTTAAGCTGGGCCTCAGGTGGGTCGCAGACCTCCTCTGTGGAGAGACTGACAACCCCTGAGCCACACAGCACACTATTTATTCTCCAATACACAAAGTGGGGGAGGGTTCACAGGAAAAACAAGGAGCCTGGGAGGGGCCAGGTCCCATCCACTCCTTCTTGCCTGACAAACACAAGCCAGGAACTAAGAACATCTCCGCACTTCCAGGGCAGGAAGGTAACTGACACGATTCTGTCAATATCCTAGGCTCAGTCAACAGCAGTCTAAAGAATGTCCAGGTATTTTCTGGGTGGCTCCCTACAGTTAGGTGTGTCATCTGAGCAGGATAGTTTTTTTTTTTTTTAAATATATTTTACTGTTTTTTTTTACAGAGAGGAGGAGAGAGGGATAGAGTTAGAAACATCGATGAGAGAAAAATCATTGATCAGCTGCCTCTTGCATACCCCCTACTGGGGATGTGCCCTCAACCACGGTACATGCCCTTGACCAGAATCGAACCTGGGACCCTTCAGCCCGCAGGCCGATGCTCTATCCACTGAGCCAAACCTGTTTCGGCTGAGCAGGATAGTTTTAAGTCTGGTCCTGCTTGATAAACTAGAGTGGCAGAGGGGGCAGGATTTGCTAGCCTTTGTAATGTCCTAAGTAGGGCCATCATTCTTGAAAATAGGATGATGCAATCCATTCCTACATTAGTTGAACATTTTTTTTTTCTTGTTGGAGTCTTTGGACCTTTCCGTTTCTTATTTAAAGAATATCGTCTGGGTTAAACAGTCTTCCGAAGGATTGTATTTATTTCCATCAGTTTATTTTTTATGTAAATATTGCAACTAAATGTGATAGGGGTCTCAGTCAAGGAAAGGTGACCAATTCATTCATTTAAAGACACTAGTTTCTCAAAAAAAGTAAATACATTTAATAAATAGATATCAGATTCTCTATTTATATGAAAACCAGGAAGGTAAAATTAAACTAATTGAAATGTGACTTGGGTTGGCTACCATGTGACTTGGGTTGCTAGGATACACCTTCGATTGTCTCTGAGAGCACAGACACTACCTACCCTGGAGAACCTCTCAGGAATGTGGCTGCTACATGGAGCAAAACCAAGTTAGAGGCTTGGAGCGCACACATAAAGAGTAGACGAGGCCTGTGTATAATTTATTCTTTACTCTATTTTCTTGCCCTGAATGATAACTATCTCTTCTTGGTAAAAATAACTTTGGTGAACTCTCAGGAGAAAGTTAAAAGGGAGTAGGAAAACTTGCATTAACTTCAGCTAAAGAAATTCAGATTTGGCTTGTAAAAGGCAGCTGAGTGAATCAGCCCTTTGCAGGAAGTTGGGGTTTTCTTTCTTGGCGTATTTTTAATAAATAAGAAAGATAATAACAACTAATACTTCTTTCATACTTGACTTGTGCCATGAACTGTTTCTAAGTGTTAATGTATTAAATTCACAGAACAAGTTATGAGGTGCCATTATTAGTATTTTACAGACGAGAAAACGGAGGCATAGAAACTTGTCCAATGTGAATTATCTAGGAAGTGCCAGAGATGAGATTCAAACCCAGGCAGTCTGGTTTCTGAACAGACTCTTTTTTACTCATAAAAACTTAGAAAATGTTATTGAACTCATGATACCCACACTCAAAGAGATGAAGGCAGACAGGCTTTTGTGTCCTCTTTCTAAAACAACCCACACTGCACGAATGAGGTGAGCCAGAATATTCTCTACTGCTGTGTGATTAGGGCCAAAATTGTTAAAATAATGAAATTTAAAATGGTAATTTTAGCCCTAACTGGTTTAGCTCAGTGGATAGAGCATTGGCCTGCAGACTGAAGGGTCCCAAGTTCGATTCCAGTCAAGGGCATGTACCTTGGTGGCAGGCACATCCCCAGTAGGAGGTATGCAGGAGGCAGCTGATCGATCTTTCACTGTCATCGATGTTTCTAACTCTCTATTTCCTCTCCCTTCCTCTCTGTAAAAAAATCAATTAAATGTATTAAAAAAACACAGTAATTTTAAATTCCTCTGAAAACAATAATTGGCATTTCACTTTGTATTTCTGTAGGCTGTTTATCAATACAGTAGCCTTGGCATTCTGAAATGCAGAGGGGCATGAAAATTTCCCCAAACCCAGGCGTCTCTTTCATTGGTGTGTTTTTAGCATTTTGCTTACTCTTTATATTACAAGTAAACTATGGTCTATTATGACATTATACACCTACCACATGTAGGTCTTTGAAGCCTTTTAGAATGTAAGAGGTCATTTCTCCCTGATATTAGGAATGGCCTCACAGGCCTCTGGGAGATACAGCCAGACAGGGGGTGGGGGTGGGGAGGTAAGATGCCGGCTTGGCTCCATTCTGACCCAGGTCAGGGTGCCCTTCCCTGAGGAGCAGCTGGGTGCTGAATGGAAACAGAGGCTGTAACAACTCCTTTGGGTGGAAGGGAAGGGCCCCCCGAGCTTACTTATTGCCTGTGGGTGTTTGGAAATTTCCGTATCCTCTCCAATATTTAGTTTCTTCATGTATATAAACAAGATCAATAATATTGCCCTCACAGGATTGCTTTGGAAGATTTAATAGAATGATAAGGGGAAAATTGCTTTCTTAAGGTAAAACACTGTGGGAGTATTTTCAGTGTTTTACATATTTCCGACAATAAGTTTACCAGATTGGTATTGAATATGATGCTTCTCTCTCAGTCTGCTCCCATGCAGACTCTCCTGGGTACAGGGCAATGGCCAGCCGGACTATGATTACGGCTTCCGCTGTGGCCCCTGGGAATGATTAGGTGTTATTGAATTTTCATCAGAGGAGCACTTACGGTATAGTGAAGTAGTCCTTCTCAGGATTAAGAACTGAAAGTCCCTAAATCACCCAGGGTTTATAAGCATGACAGAATCGCCTCTGGCATTAGGAGTAGTCCTCTGACAGAGCTTGGGGAGCCGATCAAATGCTACCTTTTGTTGAGGTTTTTTCTTTAGACACTCCCCTGAGTGAAGCTTGTAAGGTGCTAAGATCAACAGAAGAAGAGGTAAGTTTGTTACAATGAAAGAGCCTCAATTTAGATATAAATGCTCTGTTTGGATTATAAGAACATGATTAGCCGAAACCGGTTTGGCTCAGTGCATACAGCATCGAATCTGGGACCTTTTAGTCCTCAGGCCGTGGATAGAGCATCGGCCTGAGGATTGAAAGGTCTCAGATTCGATTCCGGTCAAGGGCATGTACCCTGGTTGCGGGCACATCCCCAGTGTGTGCAGGAGGCAGCTGGTCAATGTTTCTAACTCTCTATCCCTCTCTCTTTCTCTCTGTAAAAAATTAATACAAATATATTATAAAAAAAAGATCATGATTATTTCCTAAGAATGTAAGTTAAGACTGATTATGTATGTGTGCCTGGGCAGCTTACCCCGCTCAGTCAGGAAAGGGCACCCGGCCCCTCCCCTGTGGTGTAACAGGAGACCCCTCCTGGGCGTGGCACCTGCTGTCAGCTGCTCAGGGACTTGCTGCATCTTCCCTGGACTGTCTGAGGTGGCCCAGGGCTCCCCTGGGACTGTAGGCTTCCCTTCCTCCTCTTGGCACTGTATCCTGCCTGCAGTTACAGCTGGACTCTTTCTCTCATGGGTCCTTAC